GTTTCATCCCCTGACCAGCTCTTTCTAGAAACTCTTTCTTGAAATGTGCTAGCTTGTGCTAAATTTCTTAGCAACCATATACTCAACTCGTGCCATGTCTCAGTGGATAGGAAGGGCTTAGGTTGTGGTCTGAGTGCAGTTTGTGTTAGAAACAGTGACTAATTAGAAGGTAGTCTTTCACCCTAGTCAGCACCCATGGCCTTGATCGTTCGTTACACGGCTAGAGAGAGTGCAGGCCAAGCCCTCTTGCCCAGAGGAGGCCACAGAACCCCAGTTAAGCCCTCTGTCACAGCTAGCTGGCTTCTTGGCAGCATGTCAGACTTTATTGCACATATACAGCTGTATCTCTCAGTCTCTTATCGGCAGACTCACCAGCCTGTTGGAGAAAGAGCCCTTTTAAAGTGAGATCTGTCTTAACTGACAGCTACTGTATGGCCTTCAGAATTTTTTCTTTCTTAATGACCCTATATATCTCTTTGGTGCCTTAGTCTTGGTTTGTTACTTTCAGCAAGAACTGATTTCTAGGAGATAGTGAGTGATAGGGATATTCTTACAGAGCTGTCGGTTTGTGGAAGTCCACATGTCGAGGAAAAGTACAAAAAAGTACAACCACTGATTAAAAAAAAGAACTCAAACTCTAATAAAGCAGTAATCCAGAGGAGCAGTATGTTATAATGACTACCACAGTTAAGGGGTGTAACATATCATTCACATATTATTCCATGAACAACACAATGGCTTTAGTAACTTTTAGTTATTTAATTAATACAGGATTTAATTGATGTCAGCGATCATATGGGTGTGTGTGTATGTGTGCAAATCCAGTATGGGCAGAGCAAAACCTAACACACCTAAAATGTAACACAGATTTTTTAATGTAGTTAAACAGGTTCAAGTAGAATGTGCTTCTGGCCATCTCGTATTCCCATAGCAAGCTCATCTGGGAATTTTCACAGCAGTCAGGCTGATATTTCTCAAGGTTCACCGTGAAGGACTTTTTTTGGGTCCCATCAAAGTAACTTTTTTCATCATCAAAAGTTTTTTGAGTTGTGCGTTTAAGTCACAGAATTCACTCCTATATAATTTTAATTACTCTCTTATTGGCTGTAATATAGCATCATGTGGGAGCATGTAAATAACTCGCAGAGCAAGCCAGGCTAAACTAAACTGCAGCCTCCACACAGCACACAACTATAACACAGTGTAATACAATAATATATATATATATATATATATATATATATATATATTGCTGCTGTTGGAAGAAAACCTTGTATCTCTATTTTTGACGTTTTTAAATTTTTGACATAATTTGAAAATGCCTGTTACCCTTTACATTGTATGTTAATTTAATGATGAATGGACCAAAAGAAATGACCCAAAATGACTTGGAAAAAAGTCTGATTCCATTGACACTACATTGATTCCATTACATTAAAAGTAAAGCAGGTTTTTTCCTGCTATATATATATATATATATATTACACTGAATGAAAATGAACTAAAAATTACAGAAATGCATTTTTCTAGAAGGCCCTGAGGGCTCGCCTCTGAAGTTACATAGTAGAGCCCCCTTCCTCCCCCTTTTTTTGAATACAAAAGAGCTAACAGGCCAACAGCACTGGACTCATCATCATTGCCGAACAAATGGCAGTTCTGAAATGTTGCTGAAATGAAAGCAGCGCACTCCTCCTCTCTCCAGCTCTGATGTGTAGTGCTGCTAAGGATGTTCTTAACCTCCCATTACAGCCTCCTGAAAGATTCAGCCTGAAAAACATTTCCAGGATGGGGGGAGATAATGAGCTTTCAACTTTGACCTTTGACTAGTTGGACTGCCAGTATGCAGGAGCTGACAGGGGGTCTTCCAATTATAGTAATTGGACACTTAGCAAAGCTGCACCCATCACAGAGCATAGAAGAGCAATTATCTGCATAACATGAGGGACAGCAGTGAATAAAATAATGTCTCATCAAATATGTTAGAACTCGAAGAATTGCTCAACAGTCTTTAAAGGCCACCATCACACATAGCAGCTGTTCTCAGTTTCTGTCCTGGACACACACACCATATTTATCCATTTATGAAGGGCTTATCATTAGAAATGGGCTCTATGGCCAAAAATCTTATCTCAGTATATTTTTCCAGATCATTCAATATTGATGATTATCTGTGTTTTTCAGTTTTCCTAATGTAGAATTTTACACCTGAATAGTAGCCTATGTTTAACCCCCCAAAAATATAAGGCTTATTCTGATGGAACATAAATACTGCCATATGCAAAAGTCTGTGCGCCCCTGGTCAAATTACATGTGTTGTTGTTGTTGTTGTTTTTTACGTGAAAATAAGTCAACACGTCCTCTGCAGAGAACACATTTTAATGCACAGTTACTGTTTATTTACTCCATTTAACATATTGGGAAACATACAAACATAAAACTTAGCCTGTCCAAAAGTTATGACATTTTTTATTTTACGTTTTATTTTTTCCAATGTGTTCAACTCAGCAATGTGCAGAAAAGATGACATATTTAAGTTTTCCTTGTAGAGGATGAAACCTGTTTTCACTTCAGCAAAATATGTGTGTTTGACTGGGGATGTTCAAGCATATGACTAAATACCAAAATTGAACAGAAATAAGCAGTAAGTAAGAGTAAGTTTAAGTACTTTTCCTGTCCATAATTTCAACATTGGAAAAAAACTAGCAAGTTAACTCACATTGATTTGTGCTATTACAAATGAATGGCTAGACTTCTTCTCCCTTCCTTTCACAACCTGCATTATCAAGACGATATTGATATGAAAAATGCTTGATTTCAGTAATTATCATTATTGTTTAATTACCTCTGCCTACTTTTAATTACATCCTAAATTGAATCAGGTGTGTTAGAGCGGAGGAAATATGAAAATGCACATGGTCTCCACAGGACTGCTGTGAAAATGAACATAGGCAGGAGTCACTAAACTACAAGGCTTTGGCGAAGTATGCACTGTTGAAAGTTCACCATCAAGGTGGCAGAATATACTCTTCAAATCAGATATGACGTGTTTGCAAAATCATGCCAGTGATAGAAAAAAGTACTTTACCCCTTAGAATAGATACATCCTATTCCTTCTGTGGTGGCTCAATTTCAATTTTCAATTCTTACTAACATAAAAAAGTTTCTCCTCAATCAGAAATTGTGACAGAGCTTAGTCATCACATGATTAGGACTGGAGTGACTCAACTGCATGACTGCAGGAGAGTCCCTTCCCTCCATCAATATTCATGTGCCGCGATTCATTATTCAGATTGCTGAGTGCGGGGAGTTCAGACTTATGTTGATACAGATTTGAGAGGTTTGTGAGTACAGCGCACACCTGCAGGGAACTTACAGAAGTCACCCTGAACTCGCAATTAGAGATGGAGAAAATTGTTTTTTTTCCATAAAAGCCTGCTACATGCTGCTGATGGATCCTCTGTTGTTCTTTCACTACATACTACCTCCCTCAGGTTTAACCCTTAAAACTTCAGCACCTGTCAGACATCCATTCCTCACTTTCTTTCCTTTCACTTTATGTACTTTACGTAGTAGTTTCATAGCAGTTAATGTGTAACTCATAGCAATTATTGGATAGTGAGCTAACTGAATAATAATCCTACACTCTTGAAAAAAATAGCTATCAAAAAGGGTTCTTTGGAAGAATAGTAGAACCACTTTTGCTATAGTAGAACCACTTTTGGTTCTCTAAAGAACCTTTCAGCTGATGTTTCTTTGAAGAACCATTTTTGTGTCTGAGAGCAAAGAACCATTTTAAAGTTTAAAGAACCTCCACACAGTATAAAGGATCTTTACGAATTAAACGTGTTTTTCTAGAATTTTACCTCCAAACTGAGAATCATTTTGAAACCATTAATTCTGAGCGTGTAGAGCAGGGTTGCAAGCTGAGGTTCTGGAGGGGCAGCGTCCAGCACAGCTGTGTGATTTTCTTGCTCTTAACATACTTACTAAACCTGGCAATTAGCTACTGAGTTGAATCAGGCATGTTTGAGTAGAAGAACCACCAAACCACCCCGGTGTAGAATTTAAAGATCATAGAACACCAACCCAAACAAACACCAGCAAACTCAAACATGTGACTGGTTTGCCACATCGGTGTGTGATTGTTGAGACTCTAGAACGCTCTTCTCCAATTACACTGTTCTAAAATTTTCTGCCCCATTCACACTTCTCTAAGATATGTTCTCCATTCACTGTTCTGAAATGTTCTCCCTAGTTCACACAGCTCTGGAATGTTCTCTCCATTCACACTGTTCTAAAATGTTCTCCCTAGTTCACACTGTTCTAGAATATTCTACGCCATACACAATGTTCTGAAAGGTTCTCCCATGCATTCATACTCTTCTACAATGTTCTCCCTCGGTCACACTGCTCTAGTATCCGTTCCCTCATTGACAGTGTTCTAGAATGTTTCCCCTTCCACATTGTTCTAGAATTTTCTCCCATCACAATGTTCTAAAATGTGCTCCCTAGTTCACACTGTTCTAGAATGTTCTACCACATTCACAATACTGTAGAATCTTCTCACCCATAGACAATGTTCTAAAATATTCTCCCTTCCATTGACACTATTCTATGATGTTCTTACCCATACACAATGTTCTAAAAGGTTCTCCAGTGTATGTATACTGCTCTAGAATGTTCTCATTCAGTCACACTGCTGTAAAATCCACTCCCCTCTTTATACTCTTCTAGAATGTTCTCCCCATTCACAATGTTCTAAAATGTTCTTACCCATTTACATTATTCTAGACTGTCCTAGAGTGTTGTCCCTTTCACGCTGCTGTAGAATGTTTTCCTCTTTCGCACTGTTCTAGAATGTTCTCCCCATTCACACTAATTCACTTGATTTATCAGTTCTACACTTTCTAAAACATGTGGCAACATTAGATTGTTTCCTGTGGAGTGTGGGATCAGTGTTCATGGCTTTAAAGGCTGTTGTTGCTACATGTGTTGTGCAGTCAGACACAGAGTTCTGGGATAAGATGCAGGCCGAGTGGGAGGAACTGGCCCGCAGGAACTGGCTGCTGGAGAACGAGCAGGCCCAGATACCCTCCACAGTGTCTCCTCACGAAAAGGTACAACACGTTTAGACAAGAAGAAAACGTTACAGCTAATGTATTAAGATGCTTTAAAGCCCATGCATTTATCTCTTTAAAAGCTTTTTTAATGCATCTTGACATATCAGATTATAATGCCTTGAGCACTTTCTGTTGCAGGGATATTACTTCCACACAGACAATCCATATAAAGATTGGCCTAATGCATTCGAAGAGGGCGTGCGGAAGGCCAGAGAGGGAGACCTGCCAAACGCTGTTCTACTGCTGGAGGCGGCCATCTTGCAGGACCCTCAAGACTCTGAGGTAACTGGACACTTGCAGTGACACTCTCTGTGTGATCAAATCAATGACATAAAAACATCAGCATGCATCCTGACAGCAATGCTGTCCCTTAAACTCTTAAAAATAAAGGGGACAATACAAGTTCTTTGGGTCCATACAAGAACCATTTTGGGTTCCCTAAAGAACCTTATAATGGATATTTCTTTTAAAAATTGTCTTTGTAAATGAAAGTTTAAAGACCCTGCACATAATATATCTATTACAGTTTTTATCTAGAACCATATGTCCAAGCCAAGAACCATTTATATTTAAGAAACTGGCTTCATTTCTCACACTGAAAGCTATTTACTTATGATACGGCATCATGAGCACAAGAGAAAGGAGCCAATGCCTGTGCAGGTAAGAAGACCAGAGAGAGCTCCATTCTCAGCATTAACAGCAACAGTCAATCATTCACTGTAAATTGAAAATTCTATCTATTTTCTGTTGAATAATGATGTTTAATTCCCTTAACCTCTGCTGGCTAACTTACAGCCCAGAGAGGATTATCCCACTGCCTGTGGAATTACCCTGGGCTGATTAGCAATTGATTCTCTTGTGCTAGAAATTCTAAAGAATATGTCTCATGGATACCAGATATATGAAGCCAGTTTTCAGAATAAGCCAGTGATATACTCTGCATCACAGTGCGAAATCATAGCAATTAAAATCTCATTAGCTGCAGCTAACTGTTCTGTGCCCAGTTTCCCTGAAAAAGCAACACAGTGTTGTCCTAACAGTTATAGAGAATTATACCACTTTTGGAAGACACCCTGTCCATCATGGTGACAAAAAAGTATATATTCTGACCAGTGCACCTTCTGTTTGGACATTGCAGGGTGACTGAGATGCTAGTTTTATCTAGCATAAAGCCATTCATATACACTTTCTATACCATAAACCACTGAATTCCTTGAGCAACAACAGCAAATGTCACCCGGGGACAGAAGTTCATTCCATCAAGCACTTAACCGCCTCCATGTTGCGTGCGTCAAGCTCTGTGGGCCTTGCTAGAATGAGTCATTTTTCCTTGTGCTATGGGGCCTGAACAATACAATCACCTCACTGGGGTCAAGGTGATAACCCAGCTATTCAGACTTCAATACCCATTGTCTTTTCAGGCCTGGCAAGTATTGGGGACCACACAGGCGGAGAATGAGAACGAGCAGGCAGCAATTGTCTCCCTCCAGAGGTAAGGAGGTGCACATGCATAAGACCTTAGAGAATGTTGCTTTCCAATTTTAATGCTATTCATTCAAAGCATACTGTCAAACATGCATCATTGTGTGAAGAATGATCCAAGAATGAGTTCCTATTCAAAGTTTAAACAGAAATAATAAACCGTGGTGTGTTTTATGTCAAAATGTAGCATCCACTACGTAATTTTAGACATACATAGTTTCACAGTTTTTTTCAAGAATTTTGCATAATTCAGTCAATAAGATGTAAACAAAGAGTGGTGCAATGTGAAATGCACTGTTCTAAAGAAAGCAACCAAATTTTTCACAGTGGTGGTGATAGGAACCAGACATCAGAAGCAGTTTAAAAGAGAAAGCTATTATACACAGAAAGCTATCGCAGAATATGAATACATTTTTCATGGTAAAATTGAGAAAGTTTTGGTCTAAAATCAATTTCTTAAAATCCATTCATTGTGGAGAGTTACATGCAGGACAATGTAAGGAAAGAGCTATTTAGATTTACTACTGTTTTACCATTACCTGCATTACATATAAAAACATATAAAAAAATTGTAGCTTCACTGGTCATTTTACATAGTACATAAAATGGCTATAGTTGTGCTGTAGACATGACCAGCCCTGGTTCCTATCACCACCACTGTAAAGAAATGGAAGTGAATACATTGAATGTTATACACTGCTTCAAAACCACGACATCTGACCTACACCACAAACAATGAAGCTATGCAACTGAACTCAAGAAGTACCTTTTTGTTGATAAATTTGTAGTATATATGATTTATATCAATTTAAAAAGAAGAAAAGAATCCTTTTTTCTTTATTAGGTATTTGACATGCATAGCCACAAAAACATCACATTGAAGGAGATGATGTCAGTAATACAGTTCCACCAGTGGCGGAAGCGGACAGAGCCCTCTGCTATGTCCTCTCCTGCTTCCGGTGCAAGAGCACCATAATAAAGAGGTGATCCAATTAAAATTGCATTTCATAAGCAGCCGAGCCTTTGGGAGATTACATTCATTGCAGATAGAGCGGCCATAATCTCACACAAGCTTCCTCTGAGCGACCAAGGGTGAAAACTCCAATCTGTGAGCGTTAATCACCAGTGACACTCACAGAGCTAATGCTCACTCTGTTCTGTCACCACTATAGAAATTAAAAACAGTCCTATTTTTGGTATGCGGTACACTAACATAGTTTTTATATAATTTTCAAGTGGAACATGACTTCTTAATGCTGTTGTCACATTTGCTTTGGTGAATGAAGATGACGTAATAAGGCCAAAACTTTCGAGTTTTTTATTTTGTTGTGAAATATAATTCACAAACAAAATAAAAATCTAGAAAGACTTTATTGCCCTTTATTTTTACTCTGATAAAACAAATTTTGTATATTGCATTCTTAATAAATGCACACGCTCGATCAGAAACCAGTGTAACTAACAATAAAGGCAGCATGGTGCTTTTTTATATAGTGATAGAAAATGCTGTAGCGCACAGAAAGGCAGTTGATACATTTTACCATAACCATGGACATGCACATAACTGCTCTCAGGGCAGATTTTTATGAGTTAAAAGGGAATGCCACTGATTTTTCACAATTTCTGCAGAATGCAGTGGTTGAGATGTAAACAAAGTCATTCAGAGACATGTGAAGTGAAATGGTTTATTGAAGAGAAAGTTACTGACTCAGACATCTTTACAGTGGTGGTGATAGGAACCAGGTGTCACAACAGCATAGACATTTTATTTATTATCCAAAACCACCAGTGAACTTACATGCTCTTCTGAGCTCTTTATTAGGAACACTATAGTAATACTATAGGTGTAAGGCCTCCCTTTGCTCTAAAACAGCCTCAGTTCTTCGTGGCATGGATTGATGAATGTTGGAAATATTTGTTTGAAATTCTGGTCCATGTTGACATGATTACATCATTCCTATAGACTTTTCGGGTGCACATTCATGCTGTGAATCTCCAGTTCTACCACATCCCAGAAGTGTTCCAGTGACAAGGAGGACCACTGAAGAACACTAAACTCATTGTCATATTCATGAAATAATTTTGAGATGACTTTAGCTTTGTGACAAAAGATGGACAAATTGTGGCCTTGAATGGATGCACGTGGTCAGCAGCAATATTCAGACAGGCTGCGTTTGAGTATTGATGGGCCAAAATTGTGCCAAGAAAACTTTCCCCACACCATTACACCACCTCCGCCAGCCTGGGCTGTTGAAACAAGGCAGATTGAATCCATGAATTGATGCCGTTGGCGCCAAATGCTGACCCCACCATCTGTGTGCCACAGCAGAAATCAAGATTTATCAGACCAGGCTGCATTTTTCCACTCGTCAGCTGTCCAGTTTTGGTGAGCCTGTGCCCATTGCAGCCTCAGCTTTCTGTTCTTGGTTGACAGAAGTGGAACCCAACATGGTCTTCTGCTGTTGTAGCCCAAGGTTTGATAGGATGTGCATTCTGAGACGCTTTTCAGACTATGACAATTGTACAGAGTGGTTACCTGAGTTACTTTAGCCTTTCTGTTAGCTGGAACCAGTCTGGCTATTCTCTGTTGACCTCTCTCATCAACAAGGCGTTTCTGCCCGCAGAACTTTCTAGGAGGGAGCTTTTAGAGGTGGATGTCTGGTTTCCCATCATTGTTAACAAATCTGACTTGATAAGTGTCTCTAGAATAGAGCAATTCACTCCAAGCCACTCAGAATGGCTTTGTTTACATTTTAATCATTGCATTCTGAAGAATCATTGGAAATCCCCTTGAAAGATAAAGTCTCTCAATGTATCACTGGCGAAATAGGGCCATGATAAGGTTACTGCAGTGATTTTTTTTTTTTGTTTATTTGATTTTGTTTTTTTCTGTTCTCTTTTCTTTGTCTACCAGGCCAAAGTTTTGTAACAAACAAAAACAGATGACTTATTTTGGAAGGCTTTCTTTATTGAATACTTACGTAATCTTCTCCACCTTTATGAAGTGCACTTTGTACATCTTCAAGCACAGGCACACTTCAGATGACACAGGTAGTCACCCATAAATTAAAAACAGAGCTAATCAGGAAGCGCCTGCCTCTCATTATGTTGGTTGTGAGCTCATTAGTGTCCATCAAAGCTGCAGTCCTTTTGATGCTGCCCTGCACTCTGTGTGTGTCTGTGTGACTGTGTTTGTGTGTGTGTATAACGTGTGCGTGTGTGCGCACATGTACAGGTGTCTGGAGCTCCACCCCAACAACCTCCAGGCCCTGATGGCCTTGGCAGTGAGCCTGACCAACACAGGCATGAAGCAGGAGGCCTGCGAGGCGCTGCTGGGCTGGCTGAGGCACAACCCCAAATACAAACACCTGCTGAAGACCCGCAGTCACCTGCAGGGCTCGCCCGGATCCCGCCGCCTCTCCTGCACTTTACCAATACCATGGTGGGACCCTAAAACAAAGCTAAAATGATCAATTTGGTCAGATTGAGGGACATGAATTTAAGGGTCATGTAATGCGTAGTCATTAGTTACTTATTTATCAAACACACCTTCTTTCATTCAGCTCTAGTGTTTAAGAAGGTTTTACATAGTTTTTCTCTTAACCTAAATGTTGGGTTATGATGAGCCAAGACATGTGTGGTGTCCAAAGTTTGCTTCTTTAGTTTTGTACTTAAGTACAGTGTAGCCAGAGGTGGGTAGTAACTACTTATGTTTACTCAAGTACATGTGGTAAAGTAAAATATTGATGGATTTGTACTCTCTGGAGTATTTTCAAATCATAATATTTAAACATCCTTTCAAGTATAGTTACTATAACTTAGTAAGTAAAGGAATCTGCTTTCACATTACAGTCCTGGTTCTGTTGTAAGGACAGTAGCTCTAGTAGACACCCTCTGTTCACTCCCTCTCGCTCTCTGTCTGATTTCCTTCCCCCTCTTTCATTCTCTGCTGTCTCAGCTCTCTGTTGCCAGAAGTGAAGGAGCTGTTTCTGGAAGCTGCAGGGCAGAACCCAGACATCATCGACCCAGACCTGCAGACAGGTCTGGGGGTGCTCTATAACCTCAGCTCCGAGTTCAACAAGGCCGTGGAAGCCTTTAACGCTGCACTGTCCGTCCGGCCAGAGGTCAGTCCCAACCTAGCTCACTCAGTATTACATCTCATGCAAGACTGTCCTGCTAAGAGCTGTAGTCTCACTTGAGTGAGAGAGAGAGAGAAAGAGAGCAAACTTCAGGTGCTGCAGCATGTTGTTGTAGTTGTAAATTAGTGTTGCAGTACTCGAGTCCAGTCCCGAATTAACATTCTATCATAATTGAAAATCAACAAAACCTTAAACATGTAGAGTCCTTTCTCTGTATATTTGAATAAAATCTGTTCAGTGCTGGCTGTGGATCTAAGTGATCCTTTCCATGATGGACTAACTGGGTATTATTTGTTTGTTGATGTTCATTGCTTCCAAAATTCAAACATCTTCTGAGGCCAGATTAGAATGTTATTGTTACTAAGTTTTTATTTAATATTATACAACAGCTAGTTCTGGCCATGCAAGCTGATTGGTTCAGAGGCGTTCTAACCGTGCTGTTATTTCGCCATAACATCAAGGTTTTTTCACAAACACTGTATCACTCCACTGAGACGCCGTTGCTAAGCAACGACTTTGACAGCTGTAGGAGACGCTCAAACCATTTAAATGTGTTTACTTCTTAGTTTGCGCAGAAAATGGATACTTTTAAGATCACATTTGACAAACAGCCGATTTGGTCAGACTCTGAAGATGAGACTACACTTAATTCCAAAACTGTCATTACTGCTGAGCAAGCTTTCCAGGTGGCAGCTATGACAGAAGAACACCTAAACAACCTGGAATTAGCCAGAAATGAACCAAATACCATTCGCCAAACAAAATGAGCTGTAAGATGCTTTACATTAAAACATTAAAACATTAAATGCCACGTTCACAGCCCAATTTATTTATTTCTTACTTTATTTATTTAACTGTTGCATAAACTGTTATCGCTATAACATCACGGCTGTGATTTGGTGCCGTAATGTTATTTCACGATAACACACTCCCTCTTGTGTTCTATTGCTTAAGTAAAAATGCATGAATGTTGTTTGGTTTATATTCTGGTGACTTCTGAGGAAGTTTTAGAGAAGAAGGGACAGAGAATAATCTTATCCATAATTTGTTTCCAAACGATACAATGCAAAGTTGGAGTAAGATATATACTATGATATAATAAAAATGAATAATATTTTAGGCTATACATTTCTTATTTCTGCCCTGCGATGGACTGGCGACCTGTCCAGGGTGTATTCTTATTTCTTCATGTTACACTTTACGAAATATATAATAAAAAATAATGTCATTTGTTAATATATCTCTTGTATAATCAATCATAATAAATGTACAATTAAGACATAAATGAATTTCAGTTTTTCCCTTTTCTTTTTTTTCTGAAAAAATCTTAACCTGGTCTCAGTCTTGTCTCAGTCTCGCCACTCCTGGTCTTGGTCTGAACTCGGACTCGACTGCTACCAAGTCTTTGTCTTAACTCAGACTCTGTGTCCAGATGTAGGTCTTGACTTGGACCCGCCTCTAATGGTCTTGACTACAACACCTGTTCTCGGACTCGCCTCTGATAGTCTTGACTACAACACCTGCTCTATTTGTCCATTCATCATTAACTGAACACTTCCAAATTTTTCTTATGACAGCAGCAATAAGAAACTAAGTCACTAATTCATTTTGAACTTGAACTTGAGGGGAGCTTTATATTAATAAGAGGCCTGGCCTGTTCCACAAGCCTGTGGGTCACCTTGTCTGCGATTGATGCTTGCTAAGCTCTGTTCAGTCCCCCTGCGTAGGCCACATTTACACACAATCGAAAATCCTCCCCATCTATTTGACTTGGTAATGTGTGCTCGCCTGCTGGGGAGCTCAGATCCTGAATACAATGAAAGACAATGTCGACGACACAGTTCCAAAAAACTAAGACCAGGCCGTCCCTGGAGTGCGGGTACCTCACATACAGACGCACAGACAGACACACATGCCGCAAGTGCACAGCTCCACTCAGTAAACACAACTGCCTTCCTACCAGCACATGGGAAATGGGCTCTGTGGAACAATAAAAAAAAGCCTGAGAAGAGACAGATAATAGCATCCATTTTAAATATTAAATTAAGTTTAAGATCTACTGCTGCTGTGAGATTTTCATTTTCCCAGATGTCTGACATGGATATACAACAGATTAAACCTCAGCAATGGTATCAGTGTTAAATGTGTTTGCGTGTAACTGCAATATCATGGTGGGATAACATAAATCCACAGTAAATAACAGAGAGTGACATCTTAGAGAAATAACCATAAAACAGGAGGCTGTTTGGCCTTGTGCATGGGTTCATTGGTAGAAATATAATAAAAGTCACAGTCCAAATATTCCTCTTACAAAAAAGATTAAATACTACTTTAGATCAGTTAGAATGTACTAACTCTTAAAGTCAACACAGACAGTAAATGTGAAACAGCAGTGGTGGAAAAAGTACAGAAACTATACATATGTGAAAGTGTGAGTGCTGTGTCAAAATCTTACTTAGTTTTAAGTGGAAGTATTGGGCCAAAAATATACTTGAGTGAAAGTCATATAAGCACTGACACTTAAACATACATAATAATAAAAGAGGTATATAATAATAAAAGGTATATGTTCTAATGGACAAAATTAAGAGTCCAAATGTGATTTAATTTGCCTAAATGCTGAGCATGAGCTTATCATGTTCTACATGACCAAGACTGGCAAGTCTGCCTCCTCTTAACCCTTTTCAAAAAACTGTTAAATGTTTGTAAAATTCAAATGCATGGAAACACTAGAATAAACTTGGCCTGCAAACAAAGGGGTACACAGCACTATCCCTCGCACAGCCTCTATACTGCAGCAACACACTGTACTCCTGCTTCTCATCTGAATAAGCACAGTTGTGGGCAGTTATATTTTACATAAACATTCATTTGATTGCATGTTTTCATTTTAAAAATGATAGTCTTTGAGATGTGTAATGAGTAGTGTAAAGGTCTGAATGAAAGTTTGTTTTTTCTCTTGGAAATGTAAAGCACAAGTGTTTTATTTCAGAAATACTCAGGTAAAGTACAAATCTTTACAAATACTTACACTACATGGCCAGAAGTATGATCAGTATGAGCTCATTCCAAACCCACGGGCATTATTATGGAGTTGCCCACCACTTTGCAGCTATAACTATAGCTATTTTAGAGTGTGTCTGTGTGAACTTAGATCAAAAGAGGTCAGGCACTGATGTTGGACAAGAAGGCCTGGCTCCCAATCAAAATTCCAGTTCATCCCCAATGGAGTTCCTCCACACCAGCCTCATTAGACTGTGTATCCATGAACCTCACTTTGTGCACAGAGGCACAGTCATGCTGGAACATGAATGGGCCTTCCTCAAACTGTTTGCCATAAAGTTGGAAGCATGTAATATGTCATTTTTGCTTCAGCACCCACTCTGTGAGTTTGCGTGGTCTACCGCTTCGTGGCTGAGCTGCTGTTGCTCCTAGACGCTTTCATTTCACAATAATAGCACTTACAGTTGACTGGGGCAGATCTAGCAGGGCAGACATTTTACAGACCGACTTGTGGCAAAGGTATGATTGTATGACAGTGCCACGTTTGAAGTCACTGAGCTCTTCTGTACGACCCATTCTACTGCTAATGTTTGCCTATGAAGAATGAATGGCCTGATTTTATACACCTGTTAGCAAATGGGTGAACTTAGTAATTAGAAGGGGTGTCCACATACTTTTGTCCAAATAGTGTAAGTAGAGAAGTATATGAAGTTACTTAGGTATTTTCCACCCCCAAAAAAATGTTCCTGTTTTTCTATATCACTTATATTTCTGTACCTTTTTAAGACTTTTTCTGTACTGTTTTTATGCATCTTTATGAAATCAGACTGCATAAATTATTGAAAATGGGCTCTTTAAGTAAAAAAAAAGACTATAAAAGTTCTTGTGTGCAGTAAAGTAAAAGCTGAAGTTGCTAAAAGCAGAAATACTCAGTTTCTGATAATTAAGTAACTAGGTGCATTGCTGTCCATTACTTCTTCTGATAGGACTACTTGTTGTGGAATCGTCTTGGGGCAACGCTGGCTAATGGAGACCGCAGTGAGGAGGCGGTAGAGGCTTACACCCGGGCCCTGGAGCTCCACCCTGGCTTCATACGCTCACGCTATAACCTGGGCATCAGCTGCATCAACCTGGGAGCGCACAGGTATGAGAGCTCTGCTTCTGAGTTCTTCTTCTGAATATTGAGCACTATTCAAGCTGGATTCTATGATAAGAGAGGGTTCTTATCAGAGGAGAGGGGATAAATTATTTGTGTTATTTGCCCAGATTGCCACAGATAGCTTTGATTGAAAGGTCATAGCCTGGATATTCACATCAGGTGCCACACTCAATAACAATAACAACATATAGCGGATTTTATTATTACATTAGTGTGAGGTGGATTGGAACAGGACTGCTAATACTGATAGAGCTCTGGGTTCAGTCAATTACAGAAGGTAATTCACTCAGCAGTTATTATTGTCAGACTTAACTACAGACATTGCAGATTCACATTGGATTAAAATCGCTAATCTCATTGGTAATTAAGTTACAATACCTCTCCTGGTAAAACAAATTTAGCTTGACTCAGGCTTGACGGCACAAAACTACATCTCACTCACCCACATCTCAGGGTGATTGAATTTAGATGGCCCTAATTTCCATTCAAAGCAACAAGCGAACCATGTAGTACTTTTGCTGTTCCTGCAGGGAGGCTGCCAGCAATTTCCTGACGGCACTCAGTCTGCAGAGGAAGAGCAGGAGTCGGCAGTTCTCGCACCAGGTCATGTCTGGAAACATCTGGGCAGCCCTGAGGATAGCCCTATCCATGCTGGACCAGCCCGAGCTCTTCCAGGCGGCTAACATCGGGGACCTGGACTTACTCATGAGAGCCTTCAACCTGGATATGTGAACTTTAGACTGCGTACAAGCCAAGAACCCAAAGCCCTTCATAGGAAGTAACCCGTTACCCGCGTTACAGACCGAGTCTTTTATTCCTTTTCGCAGAGCACCTTTACATTCCTGAGGACTGCTAGTGCTTAATGAGAGACAGTTTCTGACGGATTTGCACTGCAGCGGAAGATTTCCCCGAAGAGCACAACGCCTGGCGAAGATTGTAGAAGTATGCCTTAGAGAAAATATCAATTAGTGACGACTCATCCAGTGGAGCTGGAACATGCTGTAAGAACTCTGAAATACAGTTTGTACCTCTCGCAACCTGAAAAGGGTTATAGTCCCAGGTTCCGTATGACAAAGCTGATGACATTTGCATTGACAAACAGATCAGAGCAATAGTTTGAAATTGCTCAAGAAAAGATTTCAGCAGTTCAGCCCTCATATCCAATTTTTATCAAAAAGCAACAGCTTTCAATATTCAATAGAGTTAATAATTATCAATAACCCATTGTTAAATGAATGGGCGGTATCTTCATCAGACTTTTGTTGCACTGCACTAGATTCAGGATCCCTGTAGATGCTTTCCTTATCACTGCATTGCTAGAAGAAAAGCCCTTCCTGTTTGTTGCTGTAACTAGGTCAGATTGTAGAGCCTTATTCAAGATGCATGATGAACAATTAGTTATTTCAGAGACTTTATGAAGATGATTAGCAGATGGAAGCCATTACCTGCCATATCTTCCCTCTTCAAACAACTTGTCAACTGTCACTGAGAACTTTTCCTTCCAGTTTCACTAATTTCAAGGCTTTCTGTTTGAACACCTTTACCCTGTCTCTGAATGCCATAGTGATTGTTTTTGATGCACAGAAGATGCGGGCGGTCCTCGACATCGCCACTTGCCATGAAGTATAATCACGTACCACATATTCAGTCACTTTCAACTTTAAGGTGTCGTTTTTTTTCGCAAAGGCCTGTGGCATTATTGCAATATGTGTCTTAATGCTAAGGTGATTAATCCAGACAAATATTAATGTTTGAGACAGCAGGTTTGACTTAATACGGCCCTAGAAGAGCTGTGTGTTGCATGCCTTAGGCAAATGTGGCAAGAGGGAAGTGTCAAAAAATGCTATGCAAAATTAATCACATGCCATGGTTGAATTTCCTGGTTGTAAAGATGGAGGCAGGGAGGAGGAGGAGTAGTATTGTTCAGATGAATCTATTTACATCACACCTTTAATATCATCTGTTCGTGATTTGTTTAAGAAGTGGAAAGACAATGGAAAAAGAATATATATATATATATATACCAATCAGGCATGGCATAACATTATGACGACCTCCTTATTTCTACGCTCATTGTCCATTTTATCAGCTCCACTTACTATATAGGTGCACTTTGTAGTTCTACAATTACAGACTGTACTCCACCTGTTTCTCTGCATACTTTGTTAGCCCCCTTTTACCCTGTTCTTCAGTGGTCAGGACCCCCATGGACCCTCACAGAGCAGGTACTATTTGGGTGGTGGATCATTCTCAGCACTACAGTAACACTGATGTGTTGGTGGTATGTCAGTGTGTGTTGTGCTGGTATGAGTGGATCAGACACAGCAGTGCTGCTGGAGTTTTTATACACTGTGTCCACTCACTGTCCACTCTATTGGACACTCCTACCTTGTCAGTCCACTTTGTAGATGTAAAGTCAGAGACGATAGCTCATCTGCTGCTGCACAGTTTGTGTTGGTCATCCTCTAGTCCTTCATCAGTGGTCACAGGACGCTGCCCACAGGACGCTGTTGGCTGGATATTTTTGTATGGTGGACTATTCTCAGTCCAGCAGTGACACTGAGGTGTTTAAAAACTCCAGCAGCACTGCTGTATCTGATCCACTCGTACCAGCACAACACACACTGACACACCACCACCACATCAGTGTTACTGCAGTGCTGAGAATTATCCACCACCCAAATAGTACCTGCTCTGTGAGGGTCCATGGGGGTCCAGACCACTGAAGAACAGGGTAAAAGGGGGCTAACAAAGTATGCAGAGAAGCAGATGGACTACAGTCTGAACTACAAAGCGCACCTATATAGTAAGTGGAGCTGATAAAATGGACAATGAGCATAGAAACAAGGAGGTGGCCATAATGTTATGCCTGATTGGTGTATATATATATATATAGTATATGCTTAATATAATTGGCTGCAACTGTTTTCCCAAAGACTCCTTAAAAAAGGTGCCCAATACACAATACTCAGTACATTTCTCGGCAGTAATGTGGTAGCAAATTGTAAACCAACTATTTCAGATTTAGCCTGAATGACCAAATCTGTTTAGGATTTATTTTGTAATATTGTTTTTACATCCGGCTTCATCTTTGTGTCTTGGTTACATGGAATAATCTAAGAGCCCTGTAAACTGCTCTGGGACCCAAACAGAACAGGTCTGTGCTAGATAATCGCTTGCTACTGTAAATTCTATTCTGGCTGCATTAGTAGAGCCTGAGGAAAGCCTCCCCTTTTTTAGAACTTTGTACAATCTCAGGTGAGATTATCTAGATGACCTTATACTATTCTAGAAGAACTCCTAATTTAAGAGGACCGCATGCTGAATGCACTTATTTTTGAATGCAGTAGCTTTATTTATATGCATGAAATTGTCATGCCTCTTTTACTCTATTCTACCCTTCATTTCTATGACATATATATATATATATAATAATCATAACAGTTTTGCATTTCAAAACATACTGATCTTTGCATATGGCATTTATCCTAAACACAAACTATGTAATAGTAATCAGTTTTGCAATGCAATGAGTACTCTAGACAAAATATTCTTTATTCTATACTTATTCATACTAGTCTCACATAAGACCAAATTTACTGAAGCCTGTAGTGCACGCAAAGCTTACTTAGCTCAAGGAAACTGACTGTACGGACAGCGATCTGTCATGAATCAGTCCTTCACTAGTCCTTTACTAGTTTCATGATGCTGACACTACATCACAGGCTTCATTAAGTCTGGTGCAATATATTTAAACATAGCAAAATATATTAAAATATCCAGCAAACATATATGAAAGTGATCTTTTAAAATAAAAAAATGCAAAGTTTTGTGTGCTTGTCTCTTTTTAATTCATTCTTACCTTATGTTGTTCACACACACACACACACACATATATATATATATACACACACATACTGAATACTTGTGTTTTGTGACGAGACTCATTCTAGAAATTGTCATTGGTGGATAGGTAAATAGTGTCCATAAAAGGACAAACATGGTGAGCAACAATACTCTGTGGCATTTAAATGATGTTCAACTGGTATTGGGGGGCCCAAAGTGAGACAAGAAACCCCCCCACCACCACCATTACACTGCCACCACCAGCTTGAACTGTTGACACAAGACAGGTTGCGTCCATGGATTCTTGCTGTTTACACCAAATTCTGACCATACCATATGCATGTGGAAGCAGAAATTAAGATTAGGGACCCATTTTTCCAATTTTGAACTGTCTAGTTGGAGTAAGACTTAGCCCACTGTAGCCTTTAGATTCCTGTTCTTGGCTGACAGGAGTGAAACCCAGTGTGGTTTTCTGCTCTTGTAGCCCATCCACCTCAAGCTTTGATGTGCTGTGCATTTAGAGATGCACCATTCTGTAAAGAGAGGATGTTACTGTTAATGTGGTCTTCCTGTCTGCTCGAACAACTCTGTGCATTCACCACTGACCTCTCTCGCTAACAAGGTGTTTCCACCTACAGAATTGCTGCTTAGTGGATGTTTATTAATTTTTTAACTGTGAACTTTATAGACTGTTGTGTGTGAAAATCTCAGACCTGAAATACACAAACCAGCCCATCATGCCACACTCAAAGTCATAAAGATCATATTTTTGGCCCAATCTAATGTTTGATATACACATTAACTGAAGACTTTGACCTATGTCTACATGATTTTATGCACTGTGCTGCTGCCACATGATTTTAAAAAAAGTGATCTTAAAAAATGGCTGGTTACTGTATTTATCAGAAGCTTAATCACACACATCAAAACACAAGATTCCACAGTGGATTCCAAATACGGCATAAAAAGGTAATTTTAAAAATATGAACAAAATGACCAAAATAAATCAATCAACAATCATGTGGTTTATTGAATAATCCAAACATGAGTAATGAGTTCGATTGCAAAGATTGGTATTGTGAACGCACCCACATTTGCCCTTCATAAAGTTCTGTTGAAAGTCATATTTGGATAGGAAGATCCATTACAAAAGACCTTACACAAGTTGTGGAAATTTGTATAGTAACTATAGAGTTGGCACACTTCTTTTTGCAAAAAGAGGAAAAAAAAAAATAAATAAAAACTTGAACCACTTGACATTCAGTTCCATGAAAAAAAAAATGAAGAAACAGATGAACCACAAAAGATCAACTATACAATTCAAAACATCAACTGGCTAACTTCTGAACTTTAGTGCACAAGCTGATAATATCAAGGCATGTTTTAGAAGGAGGCGATCAGAGTGTCAGCCTACAGAGACCTCCTAAGAGAAAAGGGAAGACGGGAAGAGCGTAGAGACGTACAGCATGAGTATGCCTTGTTCTTTAGCTTTCCAGCTACCCTTTCAAATAAGAGTGAGAGAGAGAGAGAAAGTGAGAGGAGAGAAAGAGCAAGAGAGTGAGAGAGGCAAACTGCACTGTATCAAAAAAGGAACCTTTGCTTGTGTGCTGAGTTGTGTATTTTGGGCAAACGTCCCATAGATGAAGTATTTATGGCCAGTATAGTGGGTGATTTCCTTGGGTCAAGAGAGAAAGCAAATATGCATTCCTCATATGCATCTTACTTTATACTTTTGAGAGGAACAGAGGGGAAAAAGAAGAAAAAGAGTCAAAAATCATAAAGCTTGAGCACGATTTGGTATTACTGAGCACCATAGAGAGTACATTCAATGTGCATGGCACTGTAATATCTGAAAAAGACTGATATCTGAGTTTTATGTAAGACACTGCATATGATATTAGAAATTCGGATCACCTTGTCACTACATATTGCTTAGTTATTGGATACAAATAGTTTGTCACTATATTTGTTATAAGCGAGAATAAACTGAGATGAAAAAAAACCTTCAGCTTTGATGAATTAGACCTGTCCAGTCAGAGAAACTGGAAGAGGTCATGAGAGTAAAGCACTTTACTATTGCACAAAAAAAATTCATTGGTACATTTTCCCATCATATAACACTGACCTAGATGTCAACCTGCATGACTTATTGTATTCCCACTGTGCTGAAGTTTTCCAGGATATAAAATAAATCAGCTTGTATCGATCAAAACATCAAAAGATATGTAAGGATACTGTTCCAGTGCATTGGTTCATTCCTATAAAGAAACACATACTCCTTCTTCCTTCCGGCAAGTCAGTCTTCCTCTGATTTAGCCATTTGTGAGTAGTTGTGCATGACATTATGGTACCTTAATTCCACTTTGCCTGCTTTCCTTTCCTTGTGCAGTACACAGTAAGGTGTTCCAGTGCTCATCCAAAAAATGTAATTCAAAGTAACTGCATTCAGAGCAGTGCGCGGGGCTGGCAGTAGCGATACTTCCACATCCAGGCACACATGTATATTTTCCAAAATAAAGGAAAAAACAATACGAAGTATGTACCTCTCGAAAAATACTGGCACAGTAACTCAAGGCATTGAAAGAGAAAAGAAATCTTTGTGTATATATTAGGACATTAATCTGCATATTTCAAAATTGCACACATCCCTCTGTACCTCTAGTACAGAATATATGCCACTCTCAACAAAGCAACAACAAAGAAATAACCAATCACGCAAGCTGAACAAACACATTCATTCCCCCTTTCTGACCATGCCTGTAGTGTAGTGAGCTTTGAGCTGGTCTGGGTGGGGTGTGAGGGTTCCTCTCTACGTCTCTTCCGTGTGAATGGCTCTTGGGAGTCCAGCAGTGTCAGTGGTGTCCTCCTCCTCCTGTGTGCCCGGCAGGCTGTGCAGCTCTACGGTTAGGAAGGTGCAGGTCTAGCAGCTGGACAGGCGTCGGTAAAAGTAAATGTAGCCTAAGTCTTTTGGGGGCCTTTCTGACAAACATACTTTGTGATCATTGTAAATCACCCATCTAGGGAAGAAAAAAGATGGTTTTATTAATTACATACGCACACAATGTTCTTTATTTGGGTTCAAACTAAAATAGTTTTTCACCTGATTAAATGTGGTTAATTAGTTTTTGACTTAAGCTAAGAGGCTAATGTCGCTAACAAGGACCACAAGCAAATACCTCAACAGCCAGCATCATGTAAACTGCTTGCCTGAATCACTATGTACCTGCCTCAAAATGTGTAAGTAATCTCAAATAAACAGGCTTGATTACATGGTTTCTGACAATGTATGGCAGATCAGATATGTTTCTAGCCAAAATTAGAATTAACTTTTCAATGCTTTAAAAAGTTGATGTATCATATGGAAATGGAAATTGCAATATTTTATGAATGTCTTTATTAGAAAAATTGTTTATCAATACCTGAAATACTGTCAAAACGTACACTGGAAATGTTTTTAACTGGACTGATAAGATGTCCAAAACAGGCTACAGCTCAAACAGCTCTACACGACAGAGAAACGGCTCAGATGGAAAAAAAATACTTTAAAAAAATTAAATAAATAAAACATTTTTATCAATAAACCAAAACTTGTTTTTTTATAACCACTTTTTGTAGGAAACATCATCATGTGAAGCATTTTTTTGGCTAAAAATCAATTTGATGGAAGCAAGCGTTTTTTTAATGCCTTTTTATATCGCTTGTAAAGAAAGTTGATGAAAACATGGCTATTGTTATCTTGATATTATCTATACAAATGGACAAAAGTATTAAAAACAGTAGCAGCGATCCTAAAGCTTGAATTTAGTTTGTATTTTTGACCATTTTTACAGATAACAATTTGAGGTATGATGACCTTATCAAACATTTGAGGTACGATGAAAACTGTGTACATTAGATTTTTCTCTGAGCTTTTCCTTTAAAGCAAAGAAACTTACCTTCCTTCCTTTTTGATATGACATACATAATGACCAGACATTGTGGATGTTCCCATGTGACTTATGAAAGCAAAGAGTTCATATCCTGCAATTAAATACACAAAATTTAATTAATATCCAGTGCTGAATCATAAGCAAATAGAAGCACATGCAGACAGCAGCAGTAATGACTGCAGCAGTAATGACTCTGGTCAGCTAAGTGTTAGCAGGGTTCGAATTGTGGCAGAGATCTTAGGGGGGCATCCCCTGGTGGAGAGTCTAACTATGAGGTGAGGTCACTGAAGAATACTGTTTTTTACAAGATTTTGTGAGGTTTACCTCTATAGTTTTACTATCGCTGAGTATTACTAGCTAAGAGTCACAACATTTTTTTATTCAGTCTTTTTTATTTTATGACTAACTGGTTATCAGTGTAAACACACACATTCAAAGCTCTTAAGAAACTGACAAGAACACACCATCAAGTAGGTCTAACAGCCAGTTAACTAATTCATCATCATCATCATCATCATCATCATGTTTAACCGCTTAATCCAGCTAAGGTCGTGGTAGCAGTAGGGAAAGCAGAAAATCCCAGACAACCCTGTGTCCTGCAACTTCCTCCAGCTCATTCTGGAGGAACCCAAGCCGCTCCCAAGACAATATAATCCCTCAAGTAGGTCCTAGGATGACCCCAGGGTCTTGTCCCAGTAGGTCGTGCCTGGTAAACCCCGACTTGGAGGCGTCCACCACCTCAACTGGCATCTCTCAAGCAGTTAACTAATTAAAATATATTATTTAGGCGGTGAAATAATATTTAGTCGACAGGTTTGATTGGCCCTATAACAGGTAAAACTGAATTACACCACTGAGTGGAGCAAAATAGAGTTATGAATGCACGTTTCTGAGAAAAGCCTAACTTAATGTTGCTACTACTGTTGCCTAGCGATCTCACAAGCTAGATAGTCTGCTGGGGCTGTTCAGCACTTTAGTGAAAAATGGAACAGCTTTAAAAAATCAAGGTTGATAATAAATAAGAAATTTATGTTTGCATGTAATTAGAGGGTAAAGTGAAATAACACAGGACCCCACCAGGTTTTGTCTCTTATGTGGGTCCTTCAACTCGTTTGAGATTGAACGACCTGGGACTTCCCACCAGCCTTCCAATTTGAACCCTGTAAGTTGGTCTGTGTGTGTGTAATAGAAGAACCATCTAAAAACATTTGATCAGAGGGCACTTACGTCCAGGGCCATCTCGGACACGGGGACTTGACAGCTCCTGGTCCGGGGACAGAGTGGAGTCACTGTGTGCGTTGGCATTTGAGAAGCTGGTGTCGTTGGGCTCCGTATCAGCCATGTCTGACATGGCCTCACTCTCCTCCTCACTCTCTGGGTGGGTGAAGATCCAGTCCAGTGCCCGCTCCAAGTTATTATTCTGTTAAAATAACCAAACCAAGTCTCAAACTGAGCATTACTCATCAAAGATGCATCTAAACTATAACATCTAACCTCGCTGAGCTAATCAAGGACCTCTGAAGGCCGTAATTAGATGGATCATGTGAGGTCGATTAGGGTTGGATTTAAAATCTGCAGGAAGGTAGCCCTCCAGGAGCAGGATGACCACTGCTTTACTCAGTGTTCGTTCAATTCAATGTTACTCAAAATCATTTTATTAAAGCGAATTCGAATAGTTATGTCAAGTATGGTATTTTAGTACAGCACATCTTTTGTAGTGCTTCCTTTGACAACAAAATGACCAGGCAAAAACTCAAGCTCCTTTTGAACACGTCACAAGCATCAGTTCCTTTATTCAGCTGCCACAGTCACTGCATGGTCTTGTTAAAGCTCAGGCCTTAATCTGAAATAGGAGTATGATTCACAGCAGACACCAGCCCTGAAAGCAGAAGTGGTCTGACGCCCACTCATTTTTCTGTGCCAGTGTAGGCTGTGTATTATGAGCACTTCCTCTTGTTACTATGCTATTATTGGTCTGTGCGCGAGACCCTGCTGTTTCACACCTCCCCCTGTCTCTGACCCACAACAGCTCTGTATGTAAAACACCAGATAATCATTTAGTTGGAAGTGTAAAGACAAAAGAAGGATGTTTTTGCCTTGTCTTCTGAAGTGACAAGTCCAAAAAAAAGGTGCCACACAGACTTGCAAGACACTCTATAAATAAACTGACTACAGAAAGTGGGATGAAGTTCACTCCAAAATCCCAGAGTTCATCCTCTAAACAACGTCTGCTTGGTATACTGTTTGATTGCTGCTTTTCAGCAACATTAATTGATTAATTAATTAAAATTGCATTTTAACTAAATAAAAATTATATACTACTGTATGCACAAACTACATTATTGGCAATGAGTCATAAACACTGGTTTATTCCTTTAACATGATTATCACCATTCATGAAAGACCAATCAAAAAATGTATGCGAATGGAAAAATGATCATAAACACTTTTCCACTTAATACACTTACTCTGATACATGAGGTGATCAGCATGTTCAAACTTTAAGAAGATACACAACTGTTCACACACACACACACATTATCTAAGCCGTTTATCCTTCTGGGTCGCAGTGGGGGGTGGGTGCCTATCCCAGCTTCATTGGGTCACTGGGCTGTTTGGAATCAATGTTTTCAAAAATAGAAAAACAATCTGTTTTCAGACAAATGTATGAACTGATTTCAGAATGATAGTCCTGTGAAATTTCATAGCTTTTAAATAATTAACCCCTTAAAGGGACAGGACCCACTGGCAGGTCCAAAGTTTTATTACATACGTCTATAACCTACAAATAACTCATTTAACTAAATAACTCAGTTTGCATTGCAGCACATGTAGTTACTGAATAAGGGGTTAATAGGAAGCTCAGAAGCGGTAAAAAATTAAGATGTGTCCAGAATGATGAAGAAAGTTGTAGAAAATTCTAAAATGGGAATCATTTTTTGCTAACATCAAGAATTAAGTTACAATAAAATTAACATTCATGCCTCATTTGAAAAGCGGTGATCAAATCTTGAGGCAGACAATGTCTCAAGGAAAGACTATAAATGGATAATTATATTACAGAATACAGCATATAATAACTCAAAATCCTTGAATATTGAGTAAAACATCAAAAAATACCTTTGGTGTCTAGTTTAAAAGATTTCAATTTACATTGTATAGGGTATTATTGTGTTTCAAATAACATACATTATTAATCGAGTGATTCCAAACTTCTGAACTGTAGTGTACTTAGTTTGGTTCTAAGAAACTGGACACATGAACCACAAAATATCATTGTAAATATAATACGCAATACATCAACAGTACAAGAGCTTTAGCCAAGCAATTTAGCTCCAGGGAGCCTAATGGGGTCTCACATGCTTGTCCGTTGAGTATCTAGCCAAAGCATCGATGACATGTCTGAACTTGCTTTCAGTCAGTGTAATATGAGAATATGAGAGCCTAATTCAAATCTATTTAAAGAAACATTCTGGTAGCAGAATCAAAGCTAGGTTATGCATATGGGCAAATATATATGTTTATATCAAGAATACACTAAACAATTGACTTTAAACCTCAGCCACAATGCTTCATGTGCTAAACATTAATTGAATTATAATCTAAATTCTAATCTAATCATAATTCATAACAATTCCTCAGAAAATGTTTTTTTCAACCCTTGACTGGGACTGGTATGGCAAAAATGCAGCTATTTAATCTATTCTTCTATGATTTTTCAAAGCTGATGTCGCATTTAGTTTGATATGCAACAGATTTTAAAGAGTTAAAGAGCAAAAATCTATAGAATGTTTCAACAGATGTTAAGTAAAATAGGCTTAGACTTAAAATTGGCAAGCATAGGTGCAACATCTGTTGGCTTTATACATAAACCATAATGCATAATGCCAACAGATGTGTGTTGCCTGTCAACAAAAAAGTTTGGTAAACAGTAGGCAGGAGCAATGCTGGCTCTAGGCAGAGCACTCACTGTGGCTTTGAGGGCCTGGATGGTGTGGTGTCTGGGGAAGCCCATGGAGGTGAGGATGGCAATGCTCTCCTCAGGCGGCTGGTTGTCCAGAGGGCTGGCAGTGGGGAGGCTGGGACTGGGCAGGTCAGGCTCCATGTACGAAGGAATCGCGAGAGGCTCGGCAAAGTCTGCAGAGAATGCAAAGATTCTAAGCAAAGGCCATCTGTCAATATGTGCGGCTCGTCTGCATATTTACACCTGCATAGCAAACATATGCATAGAGTGGGCGGCTGCTGGGAAGCATGCACAGAATTTAACACAGTCTGGGGTCGACTGCTCGTTTTTTCTTTGTTTCTCATCTACAGGCAATATGGTTCGTGAGATTCATTCATGCATTTTCACAACAGGAACTACTTTGAATGGAGATGAGGACGTGTAGAGGAACATGGGCTTTCCAATAACTGAACAGGGGAAACTGTAATTAGGTTGTCACTCCTTTGTGTCTTCAAGGTATTCGCAATCAAGTGCAACAAAAATACACATTGCACATTTCAAGATAAGTCCTGGGAGGCCAGATCACTTCAGAGCTTAGGGTCCTATAAGGTCCTACATGAATGTACTAAGCGCCCCCTTAACTATGGTCAAATCAATGTAACACATGGCAGTGCCAACTTTACAAAACATCAGTTCCATAACTTTGGAGAGCAGCTTGTTGATAAAGCCATCCTCTCTCTCTCTCAATCTCTCTCTCTCTTTGTAGTCTATCCTAGCTGCTTTTAGCCACTCTACTATTCTTCAGCAAATGCTAAGTGTTTGGATGACTGGCCAAATCCCTACTTGTGCTGGCCACCACAGTTGACGTAGCTGTAACTTTACTATCAAAGCCCAATTTTTCACACAGATTCAAATCTGAGTTCTACCAGAAAATAAAAGTTTTATTTTAACAAACAATCCGCTGCTGTGGGGTTGTTTACACTGCTGTGGCTACACCATTTTCATTCACTGTGCCGTCTGAAATGCCCACTCAGTCTTTAGGATTTATTTTTTCAAATTTGACTTTGGTTAATGATCATGTAGTTGCAAATCTTTTGGATCACTGAGATCTGATTGAGCTGAAAGCTACTTCAACACTGTAATTTACCTGTTTCCTGATTTCAACATCAAGATCATCTAGCAAAGTAAAAAAAGCCAGACTATTATTTGTGTCACAAAATACTATACTAAGAAAACAAATGTATAGGAATATACTTCACACTTTAAGTCACATGTTATTGTTACTCTGACATAAGTAAATAATATGGCCTTAGAGATCTTAGAAGAATTCTGTTCTGAATTACATTTCGTTTACTGCCTACTAAACTAAATACAAATGTATTCTTAAATAGCATGCTAATATCAGTGTATCCAACAATCCAAGTAGCAGCTTCTTTTCAGTTCAAGTTCAAGAAGGTCTTAATGATTAATAATAATCAGATGAATGAGGCAAATTAATGCAGGAACAGTAAATGCTACAGCACTGTGGCTCTCTAGGAGTCTGACATCCCTGTAACCAGATCACACACAGAGAAGAGGTCTACAACCTGAGATAAAAACAGCACAGACTATATGAGTACGCTCATGTGACAGCAGCTGAGTGGTCCAGAGTTAAAAACATACTGAAACCCAGCCCTGACTGCCCGAAAGGTGTTTGAGCTCTAATGGGGTCGTGCCCTCCGGGGACTCAGCTTGTGTGTTTGTCTGGGCCGCTGCTGGCTCTCAGGTGGCTGCTTATCTGGGGCAGGAGAGCGAAGAGCGCAGGTGGACAGCGCCCAGCGCACAGGTGACACAGATGGGTGAGGACTGCACCACAAGAAGAGCTTTCTTTAACAAGGCTGGTGGTGATAAATAACACCGCCACTGCTTCTTCTAGGGTTGAACAAGGGACTTATATACAGTAGCACGCAGAAGTCAAAGACTGTCCTTTATTTATTTAATTTCCAGTCAAAACAGCCTTTAAATACAATTTTTAATTAGATATTTCTAAGAAGCTTAGATATAAGATAATCCACTTGCATAAGGAAAATAAGTGAAAAAACAGGAGATTCCAAAACCAGCTTTCATTTTAAAGCTTTCATGTTTTAAAAGAAAGGAGAAAAATCAAGCTTTACTCTTGATTCAGATCTGAAAATACCCACAGGTGTTTCCGAGAAGAATGGAAACGGAAATAAACACAATTTCTGGACATACTAAATACTCAAAACACTGAAACGTTTAATTGTTGAGGCTTCTGTGTAAATGTTTTCCACTATATTTACTGAAAAAAAACAACTCCATTTTGACTGAAGGGCGGTTTCTGAGTTTTGTATAGTACTGTATACTATCGAAGGAATATTCCAGGGTTTCTCAGCCTAGACTCTATTTGCCATGTAGATGTCGTGTACAGTTAACTAACATGGAAGATAATTTCAACATGCTTTCTTGTACTTAGAAAATGTATTGACTTAAAACACACTTATAATAGAAGCCACTGGGCAGTTGCTGAATTCTGTCCGTACACATTTGCGCAGAACGTGTATTTTTGTGGAGCACTTTTATGAATTCTAAAGTCATAGTCAAAAAGATCTTTACAAATTGAGCTGTAAATCTGTATAATTCTACTTTTCTGGTGGGAAGAGTTTGTGGTAATACTAGTGGTATGGCCAGAGTTTTCACAGGCTCTGCCTAATCATGCACAGATAACAGAAAACCTTAGAGGAAGCAAAACCAGGACTGTTTTTTTACTGTGTTGCTCCAGTATTTGAAAGTTGGATAAGACTTCATATAAACAGCTTCGGTAAAACAACTCTAATGTCCTGCAATGCTAGAGTCTAATGTTTGTTGTTTCAAATTTGCATTTTACATCCACATCAATGAGTTTTCAGCTCTTTTCTAAGTACAGGAAAACATACGGAAATCATTGCCAATGATAATTGACCATACAGAAGCCGGACAGAGGTTAGTACCAGTGTGAAGTACCAGTACCTTCTAATAGCAAAAGTTGCAACATAACATTATTTGCATATTTACCCATTTCAAATATAATGGTAAATCGTAATGGTAAATGGTAAAAAGTAACTGGCTATTTAGCAGAATGACACAGAAATGTGGTGTAGCTGAAGCAGCAGCATTCAAATGAATTTAAATAAATTCGCTGATTGCTGATTGCTTGTTCGGAGCAAAAATCAGCCTATTCCAATCTTGGTCATTTCTGATTATACACCCCTAATACAAAAGTATATCTCCTACGTAGACAAGCTTCAGCCATTTTGAAATTTAACATCCCAGAGGAAAGAAACATTCTAAATGAGATCTCTTCTTGATCTCAGGTACTTCTCCTAGACGTTGTTAAGTCCAGTTTGAAATCAGAGTGAGACTTAAGCCATTTTCTCCTGTTTCTGAAATTTGGGTCCTGAGAAATAAACCTCAGATTTTCTCACTTTGATTAAAATGTTGTCACACATGTGGCTTATCTCTTTAGTGTCTGACTCGTCTCAGTCCAGTCTCAGCTGAATAAGATTTCCATAAGAATAGTGTAAGATCTCATCGTCATCTGTCAGTGCAAAAGGGGAACTCATGTTTTTCACCAGAACGTCTTATAGTGAAACTCTGATGTTAATCTCCTCTTTTCTCCTATGGGGGCTTTAGGAGAAACAATTCAGAAATCAGTGGTCCTTCATTAATATAATATTGAGATCTGCTATATTTCTCTGAGACAATCTTAAGAAAGATTTTTTTTCCTCTGGGATATTAAATCATGTTTGCAGTTGAGCCTTACACTCAAAACATATACACAGGCACATTCAACACAATCACAATTAATATGTGGTCACCTAGAACATTGGTTAACAAATAAAGTAAAAATAAAGCCACTGAAGATTCACAGCCACTGGAATTTAAATGCTTCTGGAGCAGAATCTGTGCACTGTATCACACAAGCACAAAGGAGGGAGAGAGAAATCTGTCTATCTGTCCTTCTGTCAAACCTGCAGTTTTGGCAGCCTGGATAAATTAGAATGTATCTTGCAAAACCACAAGTTGATCAAGCTGTTTGTCGTGGAGAAAAATAGCCGACAGCTTTCCTGATTAATGACTCCAGAGCTTACATATACAGTGTACCCAAGCAATACCCTTATGAGGAGATGCTGATGTCGGACAGCACACTCGAGCCTTACCTGGCTCCTCCATGTGAGCGATGATCCAATTAAAGGCCATTTCAGCTCCCATGTTCCCAGTGTAGTACACTGCCTTCCGGCAGGCCTCCAGGGGAAAGCCCATCTCTGCCAGCTGCATCACGGAGGACTCGTCTATTTCTGGAGCTGAGGAACATGTCAAAGAAAGAATACTGTACAGTCTGCATGGTAAGTTCACATTAATAAAAGCAGCCATGCCTGTTCTCTCATTGGGCCTTGTTAAAAGAATGGTGAAGAAAAAACTGCCATGGGGATCTCATGCAGGATTGCTTACCCATGATGTGCATTTGCAACTGAAAACTAACAACATCCAAGTTTTTAAAAGGTACTGTCTCCTTTTGCCATGTGTCCCTAATTATTACAAAAGTTGTACAAAATATTGACACTTACATTCCAAAGAATTATTCATCGAGTTGTCTGGAAAAAACAGAGCGATACTTGCAATTAGCTCAACTTAAGAAATGCACAAATGAACAGATCATCGCTGTTGTAAGAAAAAAAACATTTTTAACTGTAAAGGCCATTAATGTAACAAGATATTACTGAAAGTAAACATTAAGAGTAGCTCGCAAATGGTGTGGAAAAAAATGAAAAAATGAGTGAGGGTTTTTTTTTTTTATATGACATCAATGACATAATCAGAAACACAGCCTTAAATAGTCTTTGTAGAATGAACCTGCTGCCACAACAGTATTCAAACAATATAAAGCACTTCAAAAGGGAATTCCAGCAATTTTACTACATTTCTGCATAATGAAATGGTCAAGATGTAAACAAAGCTACTCAGAGTGGTTTCTCTAGAATGTTTTATTCTAGAGAAACTTACCAAATTGAAATCGTTCACAGTGGTGGTGATAGGAACCAGAAGTCTGAAGCATTTAATGCCTCAAGAAGTCCCCTCACAGAAAGTTATTTCATGAAATAGCTATGAATATGCAGTGTGATGCCTGAGACATTATGTATGATTGTTTTGAGATAAACTTTGGCCTGAAACACATTTTATATGGCGAAGAGATACATATGAAGTGGTTCATGACAAAAAGTGTACAAAAAGAAAATGGACTTTTGGAATAATGCAATTTACAGTTATCAACATCACATATGAAAACTCGAAGACATGTAGGTTTAGTAATTGTTTTGGATAATAAATAAAATGGTTGTATTTGTCTTGTAGACATCTTGAGTTCTGGTTCCTATCACCACCATTGTAAAGATATCTGAGTTTGTAAGCTTTTCAATGCACCAATTCACATCAAACCTGTCTGAATGGCTTTGCTTACATCTTAATGATTTAGCAATGCAGAAACTTTAAATAATTGGTGGAGAATGGTACAAGATCACCTGCTCACAGATTCACTAAAGTACAATAAATCCATGAAAAATAGATGTAGCGTTACCTCTTGTGTCCTCGGGAATGACAATAGGTGGTGTAAGGTCAGGGAGCTCTTCTTCACCTGCCTGTAATCCTGTGGCCCGGAGCCGATTCAAGTCCAAAAAATCAGGCACATCTACAGAAACATCTGTGAGGACAACACAGCAGAACAGAGATTAAATAAAGTACTCTGTACAGAATGAAAATCCTAATCTTGTTTCAAATGACACAAACAACAAATACACTAAACCAAGTGAACCAACTAAAGCACAGAGCCACAGTGACCTCTGCAGGACAGAGGAGTAATGCCTTATGTTCAAGCATGAGTGAATATGCCCTGCAAACTGATCTTTTCATCATGTTGTATTGCTCAAGTGCCTTTGCAGCATGTGATGGGTCTGAATTGCACAAGAGAACGTGTGATGGACACATGCAGATGCCAACCATTATGCAATAGAAAGGCTGATCTGCTTTGTGAGGTGCTCAAGCAACGGGAGGCTCAGGGTGGCCACAAACGTGAGGGCGATTAAGTGAAACTAGTGGCTACCGACAAAAAAACACTGCTGCAGACTTAGACAACATCCTGCATACTCATGCAAGTGAACATTCACATTCATCGAAATGAGACAAATTTACATACCTAACTTTTTTGGAACCCAATCCACTCCAAATGTGAACTTTTTGAGCTGTACAACCATGTAGTCAGGGAAGGAACCAAAACGAGAAGTTCTAAAAAGAAATTGACAATAATTTATCATTTAATATTATTTCAATAAGGCTTTAAATTTGAAAAAAAAAACTTTATTTGAAGGCTAATAACATACGAACTTCATAACATATTCACTGAATAACACATCTAAAAGCTATACTTAGTATTTATGAACAGCTTAGGTCAGTATTTGCAAGATGACATAAGCTGTTTTATTAAGTAAATGACACTATACTCACACTGGGCAATGATATAGTGTTCTTAAGTAGGGCACAGCGTTATAAATTCCAATACAATTGAGAATGATGCTTCATAATAGTGTTACAAATGGAATAAATGTTTGTCACATTAATCTATGGGCCCTTGTGTCTATAAAATGTCTATGAGGTGTTTTACTTCATAAAACACCTCAAGTCATCTTGTGAATACTGACATAAGCTGTTCATGAATATTTAAGTGTTGCTCTTTTAATATATTATTCAATGCTCATGTACGTGCCATTAAGTCCCTGAGCAGGTAGCCTTCGAATAAAGTATTGCCACTTTCAACCTAAATTAATTATCAACCATTTCTGTGAAAGTGCACTGATGGTTATATTATCCAAACTCATTTGAATAATAAATGCGTGACTTCACATCACATAAATGTAAGCTGTTATTAATCTAATTAGCTTTTCAAAAGGAGTATTTTTTTTATTAAGGCTTGAAGATTCTGCAAACATGGTTTTTACTGATGGTCTAGCTTGGCAATGCTTTTCAACTGTTTGAAGCCATCAATGCTGAGTGGAAAAATACTCACTATTCTATCTGTATAAGGCGGCAAATGTACACAAAAAACTTCAACATTTAAAGAAATCAAATGGAAAAGCTATCCCATATTAAGTTACTTTATCTACCTGTTTAATGATTTGTTGTTAAGGCCATTTTGGGCCCATTTTTTTACCCAGGAGTGTATTCAATGCAAGGCAAATGAAAGCAGTGGTAATCTATTTCTTTTCATTCCTTAAAAGAGACTGTGTGCCTGAGCATTACTGTTTCATTAGCCCACTGTTCTCTGAGCTTTGTTTAGTTAGTGATCCAACTTGGTAGAGCCCATCCCAGGCTTTGGACCAGAACATTGCTTACTTCACTCCAGCTGACTTGGCCTGCAGTGCAGAGCTCCAGAAGTCTGGAACATTCTCAGGCTCTGTGAAGGCCTGTAGGCACGCAGTGAAGGGGACACGAGCTCTCACTGGCTCTGGAGGGGCCCGCATGTTCTCCTCAGCATCCTTCCGCTTAGCCTCATACGCTATCAGCTCTTCTGCAAAAAACAACAGAGCAGGGTGTGTAACAAACCAGTTTCATGTAACGCTCTGAATTCAACTCATGAAGGCCTCATCAATTAGCTGATCAGTTGCATTAGGTATGCTTAATGAGGCAGAATGCTGCACTCTGCAGGGCTGTGTCCCGCTAATACTGGAGTCTGCTGTAAGTTGTGTAAATATTTTATGACAAACGGACCAACATAAGAGCACCTTTGCAAATGTATTGTGGAATGCATTACCTCTGTTGATGGCAGCCTCCATGGGCACAGGAAGCTGCATAAGGTAGTCTACTCTTTGGGTGTAGCGCACCTTCTGTGTCTGACAGCACTGTACACGCTCTTCTACGATAAACCGGAACACATCGCTGGGGTTCTCTGATCCAGCACTATTCCTCTGCAAATGGAAAACATTACAGTAAAGACAAGCTCTAGTGTCACATCGAGGAATGACGATAACAATCACTTGACTCAACAACATGCTCATTAGTAAGCTGTGCAACAACACAGATACAGTCATCAGTTTCATCATTAAAATTTTGTTAGAAAATATCATGAGAATTTCAAATCAATAAACCTAGCATCGGGAATTGATCAACATCAAGTTCTACCCTAAACTATCCTAACTATCCTATCCTAAAATCCTTTTGTCCTAAAACACATTTCAATCCATTTACTGTAATCCATTCATGGTGGGGGTACACTAATAGGCAAAATAGTCCCCAAAAGAAAACTTCTTTTTTTAGATTTATGACTACTTTACCATCATCAACATTATATGGAAAAACTCAGACGACATGTGTAGGTTAACTTGTTGCCTAGTAAACAACAGGGCTACATTTGTGTTGTAGACAACGCGACACCTGGTTCCTATCACCCCTGAAAGTTTCTCTAAAATGAACCGTTTCACATCAAACCACTCTGACTGACTTCGTTTATATCTCAACCACTGAATTATGCAAAAATTTTGAAAAAATTGATGGCATTCCCATTTAAAACGTGGACACTTTCAGTATTTAAGGGGTTAAATCAAGAGACAAACATACTTTTTTCTGTCACAACCCTTCAACAAAGTCTTTAACAACTAAAGTGTAACATAAACAACGGCTTTGTACTTATGTTCAACATGATGTCTGTTCAAACCCAGGCCTCAATCTGGAAGCATAAAATTGTAGATCTTTATTTCAAAGTTCAGCGAGGCCATCTTGCAAGAAGCAGCAGCAGTCTCTCTATTCTGAGGCCTTACAGAAATACACCAGCTATATTTCTCCTCTAACAGCACTGAAATACCAGCGCTGGATGGCCAGATAGCAGGCAGAAGGGCAGTATAAGGGCCCCTCACTGTTCAGCACTCTACAAATAAACCAGGCCACAGTCCTAAGCACCAACATTCTCAGAAGACACAATTTTGTCTTGACCTTGTCAGGTTGACCATCTTAGGATTGTGTACGTTCTATGCACACTGCTAGCAGATGGCAATACAATTAAGCATACTATGTAGAAATCGTTACGTTTCGCTCACTGATAATCAAATAATATTCAATGTTTTATGCTGCAAAAAAGACTATGACAGTTATATTATTTGTTTTTATGGTCACTGAAAAGTTTTAGGGCAGCGGGTTCAATTCTGCACATAGGTCAAGCAGAAGAGGTAAATAGGAAGCATTATCTAGCCTGTGTAACTGATAGGGGGGTTCTAAATTTAACTCGGTTGAGAAAGTCACTTCAGAGCACAAGTGTGTGTCTGGCAGGGCTGGGAGCAGGAATGCTGCTGAGAAGTGTCTTCTGAAACAAGAGCCAAGCGTCAGAAAGAGCGCTCACAAACTTCAGACAAGCCCTGGAAACTACTACAGAGTTTCAGCCCACAGAAACCATGACAACAGAATTTAGCCATTTTTCATGATGAAGATTTCCAATTCATTACTAATGACCCCCTCCATCTGCCTGTTTGAACAAGCATCATAGCATTCCAGCCCTAAAACTGATGTCTTTTGTTACTTTTATTCACAGCAGTCTAGAAAAGTCTCTTAAAGTCTAGCAGATGGCAGTTTAAAAAGTCTTCAAATCAGTGGTGCTCAGCTACAATAGGAGTGATTATAAAAAGAAGAACAATGCCATACCTGTACCACATTGATAACATGCAGGAAGAATTCTTGGGCATCCTGTTGTCTGTTTGAGGAGAATTCTGGGTGGCCCTTGCTGACCAGAGCCTTGAACATCTTGGGAGAAATTCCTCTGTGCTGCTGCTACAGAGGAAACAGCATGTTAGCCATAACAGTAAAGGCTGTTTAGTTGGCTACAAATAGAGCTCTTTTAGTTCACCTTCTGCTTTTCATTTGAGACAAAGCCAGTGAAAGTAAAACCTGATCAAAGGATTAGTTCTCTCCACCATACAAGCACATAGCCACACAAAAACACCCAAAACATTACAGAATCAGAGTAAATGAAGCAATTTAATTATGGAATATAAAATCTATCATCGCTTTGTAATACAGTACTTAAGGACCCATATCATGTAAAACTGACTTTTGCTAGGTTTTTTTTTATTTGCATTCACACATAAACACATTAATTCCTCAGACCACATGGTCAGTATAACAGCCTGTGTTTTAGTTAATTGTTTTTATGATGTCACAAAAAAACAACATATACATCTACTGATTCAGCCTACAGCAGTTTAGCCCTGTCCATTCACTTTTGAGTGTTTTAGGCTGAACTGATTTTTTAATTAAGCACAATATAGGCCTGCCTATCAGAGCAAAGGTCGTTTACATACAGTCGTATGCGAAAGTTAGGAAGCCCCTGGTCAAATTACATTATGTTTTGTTGACTTTCTAAGTGAAAACAAGTTAATATATTCATTCAGAAAACACACGTCTGCACATTTTGCAGAATCACTGTTCATTACTGTTCATCTGCTGAATTTAACATATTGGAAAAAATAAAATTACAGCCCATTTTACATTTTATGTTTTATTTTTTCCAATACGTTAAACTCAAATCAATAAAAATATTTGCTGATGTATGCAGAAAAATTTCGTTTAAGTGTGTTCTCTATACAGGATGTATTAACTTACTTTCACCTAGAAAAATCAACATTGTAATTTGACCAGGGTGTTCAAACTTCTGCATACAACTGTAAATCAATCTTAGAGGCACAGTAACAAAACTAGTCTAATTTAAAGGAATGAGGAGGAATTGGAAAATGGAAAGTGTATGATATGGGCCCTTTAACATTAATGTTCGTACTATAACAGGGCAAACTATGCAAGAGAGAAATGTAGCACCAAGAAGCACTCAAGCAGACAATCAGATAATCCAAACGCTGCATTGATGAGTTTGATTTATTTGTGTAGCTTTGAAAACATTTTACAGTTTTAAAGGTTTTAAAGTTCTCTCTGGTTATGCTTATTCATTTGTAAACAGAGTTCCTCTTCTGATCATTCACATGACATCGGGGAGTGTTAGAATTTTAATATGACATGAGAGTGCATGCCTGCATGCTCTATGTTTCCACAGCATTTGAATTCACTATATTATAAGTACTATCACTGGGTTCAGTGAGCGTGTTGGGATGATTAGGAGGAACTCTACAGAATCAGATATTCAAATAATAAGCTCTGTAGTTCTCATCCTAATTTTCAAGCTCATTCTGTCTAAAGCCCCATGCTCAAGTCAAATGTCAAGCACCTTGTCAAATACCTTGTATTCTTCTTTCATCACCTGTTCAATGAGTTCTGATTTGATTGGAGGTTTGGAATACTGGCCTGAAAGAAGTCCATGACCCAGTTTCGCCCTGGTGGATACAGACACAAACAAAGCATCCAATACACCGTGTCAAATGTCTGCAGTGTACAGAAGAATAACAGTGAGGTCAGAACTGGTCCTGATGTGTCCTGATGTTTGATAGCAATAGTAATGAGTTAAAGAGTTGAAATAATGAAATTTTCCTTTTACCTTTTTCACAAGAGCTGGCGCGATAGTATTTTTTCTTTCCGATAATGATACTGAAACTTTGAGTATCGGTTGATACTGATCGGACATTTGTTCTTTAAAAATTGGTAAGCTTTAAAATGAGCTTTGGTTTACTGAAGCAGTTCATTTACAATGAGCATCTAAAAGTAGACTCAAACTAGGCTTAAATCATTCGAACAACCTTACTATCCCACAGGAAGAAATACAGGTTAGTTTTGCTATAAGATTGGATCAGATTTGTTATTTTTCCCTCCAATATTCAATCTAGCATTTTCTGCTGATATCAGACACATACCAATACCTGGTAACGGACTGGGCCATCTCTAACTTACACTATTAAAAGGTACACTATGTAAGATTTGGGGATTTGGAGACTTCTCTGTTGGAAATGAACTTCACACAACATGCGGTAGAACATTTTGTAACACCAGTTGTGCTTTGTTTCCCTTCCCCAAGCAGATAAACCTTGTGAGCACTTTGAAAAAGTATTCAAAGTGAACTCAAAACATTGTAAACAACATGTCCTCCGCGGATATCTCAGCAGACACTACAAACCTGATGTGGACATGCAGGTTTCTCCTCTACAACACTCTAAGGATTCAACCCTTTGTCTCTAAACAGACCACTCATATACTTGTTCAGTCTATTGTCATCTCAAGGCTTGACTACTGCAACTCGCGCCTGGGCGGTCTTCTATGTGGGCCAACAGGTCCTTACAACTGATCCAGAATGCAGCAGCACAGTTTGTCTTCAACCTTCCTAAGTTCACTGATGTCACTCCACCGCTGCATTCCCTTCACTGGCTTCCTGTAGCTGCCTGCATCAGATTTAAAACCCTGAGACTTGTCTACAAAGCCAAAAGTGGACCAGCCCCTCCCTACGTTATGGCAATGGTCAAAACTTGAGAACCTCAAGCCCTTCAAGCCTCAAGTACAGCTCAGCTTGACCTGCCATCCTTCAAGATGCATGGAAGACAAGCATCAAGACTCTTCTCTGTCCCTCGCTATCTAACACTGACTTAAGACCCATTTCTTTCGTGATGCGTTTAAATGATCACTTATCTAATCTATGATGCCTGTTTTTTGGTTTTGCTGATGATGATGGCATAGAAACTCATGCAGGGCATTCAAGCTGATATTTTCTTCAGGCTATTAATCAACAGATGACATGGTTATTTTTTGTGAAAACAGCTGTTTCACAACTTCACATTACTTACATCTGCGTACTGAAGTCTTGGGTGGGATCAAGCGGAGAGTAGTCAAATATTCTCTGTAGATTCCCGACATACCTAGAGATGAATAATAATAATTAAAAAACAATAATTGCTGTTAAAACATGGTTATTGTGGTCTACGTTACTACATCAAAAGCAAAAGCCAGATTTAAGTACAATAACAAAAGCAGAACATGACAAAGAATGGTAAAATAAGAAGCAGGAGCACTTACGCTCTCTGGAACTCTGGGATGCTGAAGAGAACTTGCATAGTGGTGCTGAGGTAGCAGCTGTTGCCCAGGTTTTTGATGCCTGTATAGCCTGAACCATAAACCGCCTTCAGCTTCAGGTTGGACTCCTGAATCACCTCCCACTCACTGGCTCGTGACTGCATATGGTTATCTGTGTGGTGGCCATTCTCTGTCTGCGGGAGAACGGCATGGACATTAAGTCAAGAACAGCAGTGTACATCCTACAGGAGCGGGTATTTGTCTTAATGAAGAGACACCACAATGCATCCATTTCTGAATGAACTACCAAAACGCACCCTTTGCATTTTCAGCATATCTATTCCAAAGTGTGTCAAGTGTTCTGATATGTGAGGGTCGAGTACTGCCTCTTCTTCATCAAAGGAATAAATGTCTGAAAAAGAGAAAGACAGAGAGAGCTTTAAGGTATAACAAATGTTTCTTGTGGCTCACTGAAACAAGCAGAACTTCTGGATTCTAAACTTTCAATTGATACCACATGTATGTTTATGAGCAGAAGAAGACAAATTTTATTATCATTGAAATGTGATGAAAAGTTATTGTCTGCACATGCTTTTGTGTTAAATTCTTAAAGGGCCCAGAGAATTAAAAAAACGAATTTCTCTTTTTTTTTAAAAAAAATGAGTTTAAAAAACATACCATTTACTACCTTGTCCATAAAGTCCATACCTGGAAACTAAGCTGCAAAAACTGCCTGAATTGTTTCTGTGATGTGATGAGAACCAACTAATTTAGATATCTCCACCTATTCAGCCTATAGCAGCTTAGCCCCACCCCTTCACACTAAAGTTCTAAGGAGTGTTTTAGCTCTGAGTGATTTCTGAATGAGCCAGAGTACAGGACAGCCAATCAGAGGAGAGCTCATATATCTAAAAGACACAGTAACAAAAACAGCCTGTTTAATTCTAGGAGAAAAAGAAAGGTTGGAAAATTGCTATGTAAAAATTAATTATGACCATTTTTGGAACATAAAACCACCAGTTTTATGTTACAAAATTTTGCAAATGTGGACCTCAAGGAAAAAAATAGAACCACAAAAAAAGGAAAAAAATGAGCCATTTAAACTATAGCTATATATTTTTTGCCTTTACTTGATGCTAAAACAAATGGAAAAAATGGGAAGTGCGGACAGAAATGGCAAGGAAGTCAAGACAGAACATAAAAGGAAAAATATTTCATTTTGCAAATCACTCTTTAATTAAATATATAATTCATTCAAAATAAAAAGCAATAATTCTTAATGTTAATGTTTTAATAAACAAGAATGCATGTTCTCAACAAACCAAATCCATTGTCCCTTAACGACTATGCAGGCACTTGCAATTTCAGTTTGAGTTGCGATTCCAAATCTTGTTTTTTTCAAGCATGCCTGCAATGTTTGGCCTGAAGCGCTAACCTGCTCCATCTGGGGTGATGGTGTCTAGTTTGACTGCCAGAGGGAATTTGGTTTCTCTGTAGTGCTCGAGGGCATGCCCGTTCCCTCCACTTCCATCAAAGAACCATTTCCCACAGAGGACAGAGCCATCCGTCAGGTTCAGCCACAGGTTCTCTCTCATTTCGCACTTGGCACACTTCCAGCCACTAGGAACACAAGGAAGACAATCAGAAGGGAGAGAAGAGAGGTTTCACATCTCAAGAAAAGATGAACTTTTCTCTGAAGAGAATGTAATTAGTTTTGGAGTTTTTATCTACTGACCATGCACAAATTCTAACATTTGGGCAAAACATATCCCAGACATGACGAACGACTTCATGAAATTGTCAGAAGTACCAGTTGAGGGATTTCCACAAACCCACTATACACTGAAATATCAACATCAGCATCATCAGCTAGCGTATCAGCTTAAAGGGGCTTTCTGAGCCACCCGACCACCATCAGCAGAGTGCCAGCAAGGAAATCAGATTCTGGACTGCCATGTGACTAACCTGGGGGGAATTCGAACCCCGTTCTCTTGTTGTCTGAGACTTCTGGCATGTTTGGACACTTGAAGCTCCTCTTCCCAAGAATCTGACTCTTGCTTTTTGTATGCAGATCCAGCATTTAGTACAGCATCACAAGCAATGGTCACCTAAATGGGGAAGATATGCACATATGCATATGACCAACATAAACCCGACAGCTTATAGCAGTTTACATGTTTGACTCTGTTATACAGACACAAAAAATTGGCATCTAAACAGCCTCAAAGCCATGCCTAAATCGTGAGCAGCCAAGTTAAACCAAACACTAGCTGTGCAGAACTACAGAATACTGTTTCAGACATTACGCACACCATGCTGTTAACAAAATAACATCCAATTTCATGCATATACCCAGCCCTGGACTGCCCTTACACCTGAGATTAACATGAAAACGGTATGTCCATACAGCATTCAGAGAGCAAGACATGCACAGTGCAACACACATACTGGACAGTCTGGAATGTGTTCAAATCTGACCGACTGGCTCTGGAGGTGGACAGGCTCACACTGCATTTGGACGTCAGTGTGGCGCAAACACAATCTGACCAGCCTCAGTGCGTTCAGTGAGAAATGCAATCAGTGCTTTTCTACAAATGATCACAACTCAGCGACTAGACGCATAATGCCTCCTTGGACGGCTAAGCAGGAGGACTTGTTTGCATAATGTGAGGAAACAGGAAGTGTAAATGAACTGTAATACCAAGCATAACTGCAAATGGTGGAACACTCTTGTTATCAGTAGAGTATATTTGCAAGTTCCCATTTTAATGTTTAATTTATTTTAAAACTATGTATCCCAGATGTTGCCATGCACCAGGGTTACTGAAGATGTCACTTCATTTCAAATTCTGTCCCTGTAATTCTAGCCATCTACTATTTATAAAGACACCCAACAACAACCACAGAAAAGGGTGAAGACAAAAAAGAAAATCACTTTATGGAATCGCGGCTAATGAAATATCATGACAATTTGTCATTCAGTCACACAGTAATGTGCAAAAGTCAGAGACAACCCTTCATTTATTTAATTTCCAGTCATGGCCACAAGGTACAAGTTGTTCATTTTTCAACATCAGGAAAAAAGTGGGAAAATTATTTTATATTTAACAGAAAATTACACGGAAGCCTCAACGATTAAATATAATATCAATGTTTTCAGGACTGAGCATGTCTACCTTTTGTTTTTTTTACAGCTTCTGGGTTGACCAGTCCATTGTTCTGAGAACACCAGCATTGTCTATTTCCGTTCCCTCAGTGACAGCTTCTTGACACCTACACATCTTTTCAGACTCATAGAGTTGAGTTGTCTTCTCACAGTGGAAAGATGGACAAAAGCGCTTGTGGATTTTTTCAGGTGGAGCTCTCAAACAGTTTTGGTGGCCAACGAGATATTGCATGGTTGTTAGGAGATCAGTCTTCTATATATAAAAACTCAGAGAAAGCTGCTTTATGAGAAACTTGGTTCTTTAGCTTCATATATTAAACCTGAAGTACAAAACCTGGGCTCTGTTTTATCCCACATGTAAACACAGTTACTAAAGTAGCTTTTTATCATTTGAGAAATATTGTTAAAGTTTGGCCTTTTCTATCTCAGAGCGAAACAGAGAAACTTGTTCATGAATTTGCTACAAGCAGAGTTGATTACTGTAATGCTCTTCTTACTGGACTTCCTAAGAAAACTATACATCCCTTACAACTCATACAAAATGCAGCAGCGCGAAAAACAAAAAGAGAGATCACATCACTCCCGTTTTAAAAGAACTGCACTGGCTGCCTATATTGTTCGGTATAGATTTTAAAGTTCAGCTACTAGTTTTAAGGCTCTAAATGACCTTAAAGCACCTGCTTACATCACAGAGTGTCTGTCTGTTTATGTTCCAGCAAGTGATCTTAGGTCCGCAGATAGTGGCCTTCTGCAGATACCTTCTGTTAAATACAAAAAACATGAAGAGGCCTCTTTCAGTTATTATGCTTCTAAACTGCGGAACTCAATTCCATCTTTTATTAGACAGACAAGCACAGTGCACACTTTTAAGAAGCATCTAAAAACGTATCTCTTTAACTTAGCATTTCACCTGTCTGCAAAGCACTTTGAGCTGCCACCGGCGTGAAAAGTGCTATATAAATGAAGATTATTATTATTATTATTATTATTATTAGTAGTAGTAGTAGTAGTAGTATTAGTATTATTATTATTATTATTATTATTATTATTATTATTATATCTTTTCAGCATTTTTAAATCCAGTTTTTTAAACGCCTGCTTTTTTTACCTTTTCCTTTGACTTTCCCCTTCCTTGTACAAGTGGATTATCTTATATCTAAAAAATGTATAACTGACTTTTGCACAGTACTGTACGTGTACTAGAAACCCCAAATGTTCCACTAAGCTTTTTAAGACATCATCAACGTGGAGTGAGAACTATGGGTATGCATGAGAGAGTAGCTAAGTACATGAGAAAGTAAAGTTCATACAATGACAGATAGACGGTGCACTGTGTACTGATACTGTAATGTGTTTTGATCCAAAGCTCTATAGTTTCTATACTTTAACTGGAGTGTAAAGACATTCTCAAGCAGCTATACAGCATTCATGAAATCCAGCAGTCATGATGACAATTCAGACAGACTGATTATCAAATATCTTGAAGGCATTTAAGTTCCCCACTGTTCCTATGGGCAGCAGACTCATGTAGAAGAAGCTGTATATGAGCTAATACAAAACAGGCAGTCAAGAATCATCTGAAAATGTCAGTAAGCATACTTGCACTAGAGAGCTTTGGGTTAAACAACATTACAGCATTGTTTTAAATCAGAACCAAGTCAGACCTTTGGCATGCAGTGCACACACACAGGGCATGCTCACACACTCTCACTGACCAGTGCAGGCAACTCCTCAATATTTGGTAAAGGAATCTCAAAGTGGTCTGGGAATATGACAAGCTTGGCTTCATCTTCATATTCATAATCATCCCCGTTAAAATCACGGTTAAGTTCTAAATCTTAAAAAAAGGAGATATAAGAGATAATCAGACAGATATATGACAGTGTCATTGCCTTTAAATCTTTACAGTGGACAAATCATATCCATAGTCTTGTACAGGAACAACAGAAGAAGGCAGAGCTCTATGAATATCAATATACTACAAACTACACTACTATACAGGCTTAGAGTGCTGAGCTCCACTTTAACACCAAGACAGATGTATTTGAAAATGCTCAGAATAAATCACAACTGCATGGTGCCAGATTTAGATCACAGTGAAAATTACAAACACTCACACAAGCATATTTTATGACTACAAGCTCAAAGAGATGTAGAGACATACTGTGGCAATCAAAACCCCTACTCATAGAATGCTTTCCCTTAGTTTCACTATGTTCCATATTTTACAAAAACAGTGAACAGTGATATGAAACTATGAAATAAAACACATGGAATTATGCATATCAAAGCTATCTTCTGTTTTAGATACTTTAAAGCACTTTGCACACTCTTGGCATTCTCTCAAGCAGCTTCATGAGGAGCCAGCTGGAATGCTTTTCCAACAGGACTGAAGGAGATGTGTAATTGTGTGAACATTTCATACTGAATGGACCAACAGAAGTGGTCCAAGATTATCTGGAATAAAATCCTGTTACATTAACTTACATTTAAAGTTAGGAATGTTTTTACTTTCTCCTGTGAAGTCATACTTCAAAAGTATTTAGAAGTTTTTTTTCTGCACCACAGTTGAAATGCAAACAAGCTGAGACCTTGTTGGCTGCTGGGCAGAAGGGGAATAAATAAAAAAACTGGGGATAAAAAATAGCAAAGTTCACTTCACACCAAGACACTCTTACGTTACGATTACATTATGATTAAAAATTAAATCCATGGGAGAAATTCATGTAAAAAGACTAGTAAGTAAAAAAGCTACCCACATGTAACAGCCATTGCCTTCATGAGGAAGCTCTTAATGATATACCTGGAATAGGTCACGTCCCCTTTACAATCAAACATTTAACTTTGGCAATAACTTCACTACTTAGGGCCAAACCCATTGCTCCCCTTGCCCCACCACCCTTTTGCAAGTTCATGCATAGGGATAGGGTGTCTCAATTTGTGACCGGTAGGGTGAAGTGTTAGGGCTACATGGCCCTCCAAACGGAGGTTTTTCAGAGGCACACTCCAAACAGAGTGTTATGAGTAAAAAAGGAAAATCCGGCAAGATGGCTGCACAAAGAAACCCACAAATGTATTTTCTCTGTTAAAAAATTACCATAACCATTGTGTTATCTTAGTTTAATGTTGTTTCAATGTATTATGGTCCTTTTCTTCATAACAAGCGTAAAAAATCACTAGTAGTATGCTGATGTCTCAGCAGCTAGCTAAATTTCCTGTTCCACCTTAAACGCCTGAGGTGCCAGAATGTAACTGCTGCAACATTTAAGATGGAACGGGAAAATTCGAATAAGCAGGTAGCAAATAGCTGATTTCAGGTTCATGTCACCAAAGAATTAAGGGTGGGTGGCGTCGTATCCCCCCCTCTTTGAACGCATATAATGTCCTAAATTTAACTAAAGCCCAGCAGTGAGGTTGCTGGACTTTACCGCTCCTCTACTATCGCTGCAGACTGGCAGGGTCGCCTACAGAGTGCAGCTAGTAGTCTGCTAATGAAGTAATGTTCTTTTTTATTTGAGGGTTGTCCCATTTCGTAGGGGAAGATTTCAGCCACTACTCCTTGTAACTCCAAGGAACAAGGTGACCCTTGAAAACAAGGGGTAGGGGTAAAAGTGGGCCTTAGATTTGCCTTAGAAACAATTTTAGTCACTTAACCAAAGTCTGGGTTATGAAATTTCAAATCAGATGGTGTCCACAAGTTTGACTGGTACTGTACACTTCGGAGGTACACACAGGCTGGTGAAATGAAGGATGAATTACTAAATTGGGAAATGGCTGAGTGAACTGGAGGAAAGTGCAGCTGGTTTCTTTTTAGCGGTTTCTTGTCCTATGACGTGTGAGCTTGGGCAGTCTGATTAGATCACTGCACTGGTATAGAGATGCGGTACCAACATAACATTCCCTGCAGTAATACGCAAAGGGCCACGTAAGGAGACATAATTGGTGGTGTACATGGTTTTCTGAGCCTGAATAAGGAGGTTTACACACAGTGACAGCTCACTGAATATATACTACCAGCCAAAAGTGTGAAAACAATGTTTTCAGTGACATAAAACTAATTAGGTTGTAGATAAACAGATTATTCTAATATGCTCTAATGAAACTGTACAACAATTAATAAATGTGTCCAGAATGATGACCAGAGCTACAGATCATTTTAAATTGACATCAAGAATGAAGTTATACTAAAAAGAATATCAAGAATACTTCAAATTACAACAGACATAATAACATTATTATTTCCAAAATACTGAAATATTAAGTAAAGCACTTACTTAAGCAAAACCTTTTGGTGTGTAGTTTACAATATTGTAATGTGCATTATATAAGTTATCTTTGTAAAATAACAGTATTATTAATACACTACACGCCTAAAAAAGGGGGCTCTTCAAGGATTCCTTAATAAAAGCTGGTCATATCCAGAACTGTGACAACTCAAAAAACCTTTTTAATACATAAAAGGTCTCTAGAATGGTTATACAGTTCTTCACTATGATGGAAAACCTGTTTTATGTGGTTCTTCAAAGAATCATTGAAAAAGACAGTTCTATATAACAACAAAAAGCATTCCATAATTGTTACAAGTCACGGAAACTTTATTTGGGACTACACAGAACCTTTTTTCCCCCCCAAGAAGGTACCATTCAAAAGATCTGGAATCACATCAGTCATTTTTGTTACTTTATTTACAGTAAAAACTTGTAGAAAGTAGTTTTAAGTATTATAAACTAGACACAAAAATCTATTTTTAGATATTTCAGTATTTCAAGTATTTTGGGAACAACTGGAAATTATAATAAACAATAATAAACAATATAATTTAGTTACACTACATTAGATGTCTGTCTGCCCTGAGACTTGACAGCCAGTTTTAAAGCACAAAGCATTCTGTACTGTAACTTTGTTATAAATTGATTCTCGATGTTATACGGCTTTTAAGTCATGTTAGAATCATCTACAGCTCTGTTCTTCATTCTGAACACATCTCACAATTTCTTTTTTATAGATTCCTACTTCATTTCCTACAAATTGTTTGAAACCTGTGAAGCTGTGCAGGGTGACCGTATTAGAATATTTGTTTACATTTATCTGCAACCAGATGGGTTTTATTTTATTGAAAACAGTGACTCCACACTTTTGAACACTGATTTCAATCGTAGCCGAACTTTTGAACTTTAGTGTGGGAGTGAAGGAAGAAGACCTAGACTGAGTGAGGAGGACATGTGTCAATCGTTTGAAGCTCCATTAGAGTGAATAAAACCCACCTGGCCCCACAGCCTACATCATCCCTCCAACGGCAGAAGTGTGTCAGCCATGAGAGTTGATAGGGCACAGCAGCTGATGGGGGAGCAGTGACAGGCCCGTCGGCCCACTGTAAACCAACCCTCCCCAGTAGCGGATTAGGCCAGAGCGAGCATGTGGCACTTTAGATTTAGAACGGTTACTAACTGCAGATAAAGATAAATGCACTAAATTTAGCCCCAACAGGGGAGGACTGAGGTTAATGATCATGAGGAAATGTCACTTATTTTAAAAAAAAATCTTTAGATCCATCCCTGTGAATTAGACTTTTTTCAGAGTGTATTTTTTTCCATTCTCTTCTTCTGTAGTCTTACCTAAAAACACTTTTCCATTCCGTCTTCTCGGGACAGCACCTCCAGCAGCACCTGTGGCTTTCTGTGGCAGACAACAACATTATTTTTGACACCAAACAGAAGACAGTTGTTTTTGTAGAGGCTTCCTGGGCACAGAAAATCTTAATAAACCAAAATGTTAGAGAATCCAGTAGCACTAATAGTTAAATAACACAGGATACAAAGCTGGCTGTGGGTAATAGCGGGCGATTAGTGTAAGGAAAGTTCGATCGAGGCTTTATTTGTGGGGACCATCATTAAATTTGCTGTGGTCAGGATCACTAAAAGACAGGAAAAATGTTGACACTCTCGTCAATTAAGTGACCTCATGAGAAAACAGCAGACTCAGGAGCTGCAGGAATGTAGCCAGCTGTTTCTGAACAGATACTGACATGGAAAAAGCACTGCTAAATGATGGCTACTGATGGCTGACATGGGGTCAAGCAGAATCACAGGAAGTGATTTCTACTGAAATGACAGCTCGACTTTTTCAGCATTTATTACAAGAATAACATTTAAGTTAACAGACTTTTATTTTGGATTTTTGATTGAAAAGTAAGAAGACTCTAATCGTTTTTAGTAGCAACATATTGTAATAGAAATTATATAATACAAATATACTCTTAATTATGACCATATATAATTATGACCATATATTATCCATTCAAATAGCACATCACTGTTGTCGGAAGAAAACCTAGTATCTTCAAAATGATAACTTTACAGGAGAAGGAAAAAAACCTACTTTACTTTAGATGTAAGTCAATGGAACCAGTTTACACACAATGTAAAGGGCAACAGGCATTTTCAAATTATGGCAAAAACTGAAAAACGACAAAAATGGAGATACAAGGTTTTCTTCCGACAACAGCGATATACAGACTGTTACACCAACATAAAATGCAATAAACAATAAAATATTTTAATATTAACAGATTTTCATTTTGAATATAGCTATTTTGTTACATTTTTACAAAATTACTGATTTCTGCTATTGATTACTAAATGTGTGGAGCACTCTATATGTTGCTTTATATACAGACAAGGCTGTTAAATTACATATGTTACAATCACTGATAAGATACTTTATTAGGAAATAGTAAGATATTAAGAATAACAGCAGTGGAAGTTTATTCAGTTACTTTTAATATTATTATTATTGCTGCTGACACACGCACACTCCGTACAAAAGCACAAAGCCACATGACCTTCTAACCTGACCAATATGTCAGCTGGCCAAAACTGATTATCTGTAGTTTTAAAAACAATGTCAATAATGTGTTGATAATTACCAACTTTTTTGTTGCAGCATCACTAGAATTAAAATCCGTAATCACTTAACAACAAGCTGAAACCTCAAATGGCTGTGCCACTGGCAAACCCAACAAGCATCATTGCACCAGCAATACAAACTGAACAGATGAATTTGAACAGAAAGAACCATCAGGTTAGAATAAGAGAAAAACATGTAGTGCTCAAAGCTAACCTTTAACATGAGAATGACGTTATAACAAACAAAAAACCTTTTTATGACGAGAACTAATGAGGTAATTAACAGAAACCAAACCTGTAAAGAATTATGAGTAGCTCCACCCCCTGTGTTACAATATTTATATTATTTAGACTGTTTATTTGGGGAACAGTGTGACAGCTCACACTGAATTCAGAACTCAGAATCATACCTGTCAGTAAAACACTCTTTAACTAAAAGTATTATATTGTAAATTTAAAATGCAAAATATAATTATAAAACTATATCTGCCAATATTGTCTGTTATTAGAACGTTTGGGCAATGAAATCAGTTTTCATACTGGTTGGGGCCTACTCTTAACCACACCACAATAACATAAAGACTTTATCTGAGCATGAATTAGACACCAGTATCTACATCTGAATTTGAAATATTCACTGACAAGCTACAAATGAATGATAATACAGCCATATGCAAAGTTTGAACACCTAAGGCAAATTAGTACAAATCCTTTACAGGGAACAAACTTAAATATATTATTTTGCTGCAAATTTTCAGTGCACAGTTTCTATTTATTTAGTGTTTAACATTTTCAAGATACAATAAAAAAATGCACCATTACTTTTGCACAGGCCACATTTTATGATTTATTTTTTCCCAAAATGTTAAATTCAGCAAATAAACACTAACTGGGCAGAACAGAGCTCTCTGTAGAGGATGTGTTAACTTTTTTTCTCTTAGAAAATCAACAAAACGTGATTTGATTAGGGATGCCCAAGCTTATGCATAGGACTTTATATGTGAGAGGCTCACCACTCTAACATCAAGTCCCTCAAGTACTAAGAAGCAATGTTTATGACCTAAAAACAACACACTATATTATATAACAACACAACACACTATGTTTTTTTCCAGTATTAAATATTAATTAATGTTGGTATGAGCAGTTTTGTTTACACTGCCATCAAACTTCCATATCACTATTAACGTCTCCTGTAAACATTTACAAATGTTTCTAGATTTTCCTCAACACTGGATGTTTCTATGTTAAGATTTTGTTTTATTTTTATCCAAGATCTTCCTAAAAATCTTCATGTAAAGATTTTGTTCAACATTTCAGTTGGTTAAATAAACAGTGGTGCTAGCAGCTGCATCAGCCAATCTTTTTCATGTTAAAGCACAAAAAGTTTCATTAGGTTTGCTAGATGTTTGATACTACATAGACTACTTATATAAATATAGCACTACGTAGATATTTGCTAACCTTCATATGTATGCACAATTTATAGATTTGCACTCTTCTGATTAATTTCACATATTACTTAGTCCAACTGAAGTATATATTGTGAGAAAAGGAATCTACTTAAATTCTTCAATTTAAACCGTCTAGTTCCTATTTTGTTTCTTTATTTTGGAGTTTAATTTTATTCTGATTCTTTAGGTTCAGCACATGAACTGCTTTATTGTTGTTTACATCTCTCACTTCTGAGGCTTAGTGTTCTATTTTAGACCAAAATGTCCCTATAAAAGAAAAGAGTAGCACCTAACCCACTTCAGTTCTGATGCTGATAGATGCTGAATATAGTTCCACTGCAGTTCTATAAGGAGTTCAGTTTGTTTGTTGTTCCTGTTTTATATCCACCCAACACTACTGATTTTAATTAGTACCAGCAATTGAAGAAAAAACTAAATTGTAAGTACAGTAAGAATGCCTACATAATATAGATTGAATTATTACTACTCAGGTAGTTTTGTCGGCCCAAGTTTTTGCCCCTTACCACTTTCAGTTAGACAAGAAAACAGTGGAAACAGGGAGGTCTGGTACTATTCCTAACCCATCTTCATCCTCTAATGTTTCTATTCATGTTTAGACGTTTAAAACATTTAAAATGCCTAAACTGATTAACTTCTGCACATACACAGGTGCAGCGTACCATGATTGAGTTTTGTTACCATGGCCTGAAAAGGTCAGCATATCAAGCTCCTCAAGAAACAGGCTATTAAAGAACTAAACCAAAGAGGAAAGCAAGACCAGCCATCTGCCTTACCTCCTTAACATGACGCTTTAGGTGCATGTACACGCTCTGTCCAGTCTTGCGGTAATGTCTCTCCACGTGTTCTCTTCCGAAGCCTAGGAATGTGTTCATACACACATACAGCCCACCTTCAGACTCCTAAAGGAGACAGAAATCACACAAAAACAATTACAAAATAATAGTAAAAACATATTGCCAGCATTACTGATAACTAAAGAGAGTCAAGAGATCATAAAACACAAACCAGACATGATATTTCAAAGCTTGGAGCCAACAGATCTGTCTATGACAGAATTAAGTTTGGAAATCAGAGAATCAACAGTCATTAAGAAATATCAAAAAGTTACATATCGTTGCTGTTACGAAAAAAATGACTCTCCATTTTTCTACATTATTTGAACACAGATGCTGTCCTTTATATTGTATGAGAATATGAAAAACAGACCAATAGAAAAGCTCCAAAATTACTTGTAATAAAATATTTGAACATTAACTTGCATTAAAAGTTAAGAATGTTTTTGTCTTCTCCTTTAAAGTTCTATTTACTATTCTGGAGATACATTTTGTTTGTTTGTTTTGCTTAGGTTTTTTTTTTTCTTTTTTCGGACAAGAACGATATATTGTGCCTTATTTTTTTTAATAGATATACCAGTTGCCGTTTTTATACCAGTAAGCTAGCTGGTTAGAATATTAAGAAAGTGGATGCACTGATAGATTTCTTGGACCAAACTGACAAAAAGTCTAATAGTCTGGTTAACCTAAAAGACTGGCTATACACTAAACACCATCAGTGGGTTGGCTGTAGTAGGGCCTAGGTTTAAGAGCAAAGAAGAAGGATATACAAATATTAGAGATTTTGAAATCAAAAAACTTTGTTCATTGCTGGTTGTTCTAAAACCTATCGGCATTAAGAAATGGGGAGACTTTTATTTTATACACATTCCTCTAGGCCTACACTAACCCTCAGAGACAAAGCTTGAGTGTAGCCTAGTTTTGCAAAACAAGACCCAAAACAGTATAGGGATTCCAGCTCCACACTCTCGGAAAAACCTCTCAATAGGCTTTGGTGACACACGAGCTTTAACAGCCAGGGGTAAAAATAGTCTGACATGAGCTCCAAACAGCTGAGTCACCTTTAAAACTGTTGTAGCTGAGAGACGGACATACAGCACTGAAGCAACACGTCCCCAAAAAGTTGGGACGAAGCTACAATCAATCTTCTGACTGAGCACTGACTGAGATATTTGGGTTCAGAGCATCTTTGTAGTTGACTGGCAGAAACTCTCAGACCTGGAATCCTTTATAATCAGGTCACAGGCTGTCTGACAGTCATATTAGCTGTTTAATCTTTTTTATTAGCTAGCTAAAGGTTTTGTGACAGAGCGCAGCATCCTTGCCAGCCTCCACTTTGACAAATGCTCTAATTGAGACTGTGAGTGAGCTATTTAGGACATAAATTATCTTTGGTTTGATGAGCTGTTGTGAGTAGAAACAGTGAGGCAGATTCCACCTCAAAGCGGACGGATTTCAGGGCTGGTTTTATTGGCTTGTCTGATTAACGGTCGCATCGCCTCCAAACAAAGGGGGCAAGCTTTCTAAGGTGTAAGCCCTCAGGTTTGCTGAGGTATTTCAGCACGCTGTGACACAGGCGGGTGAGAACGGTGGCCGCGGGATTCCCAAAATCTCACGATAATAGGCTGCGCAGCTTCTCACGTGTCAGGATGAGAAATGGAAAAATAACTGAACATGCATCCACGCAGTAGAACGAAACACATCGAAACACGTATATTACTCACTGGAGAATCGTAGGAAAAAGCACACTCGCTCTTGTAAACCCTGTCTCCAGATCTCGGCACCCTTATAGTTGGCATGTACGGGACCAGTAGCTCTCCCAAGTCTGTAGCCATCTTTGCATTCCTGCTGCTCCACAGTGTCACTGAGTGTCAGTGAGAAGGAGAGATGAGGGTGTTATTTTTAAATCACACAGAGGAGACATTCCCCCTCAGGATCAGGGGGATATGACGACGAAAACATTGGGGGGTGGGAGGGGGGAATGGTCTTTTTGAGAAAGGAGCCAATATTTGTATCAGGGTTTCCTCAAGCTCCGATTGGTGGAATCCTAAATTTATGTAAATACGTTTAGGGCGAACGCGCTTTTCTACTGGCCACTGTAACGACGGAGGGCTGTGCGTGAGCGAGCGTATTGGACAACATGCTAACGTACACTACATGGCCAAAAGTGTGTGGACACCTATACATCGCACCCACATGAGCTTGTTGGACATCTCACATGGAGTATCCACCCCTTTGCAGCTATAACAGCCTCCACTTTTCAGGGAAGGCTTTCTACAATATTTTACAGTGTGGGGGGGGGGTTTGTGCCCATTCAGTGAGAAGAGCATTTGTGAGGTCTGACACTGAGGTTGTACGAAAAAGCCTGGCTCACAATTCATTCCAAAGCTGTTCAGTGGGGTTGAGGTCCAGGCTCTGTGCAGAACACTTGAGTTCCTCCACAACTCATCAAACCATATCTTAATGGAACTCATTTTTGTGCACAGGGGCACCGACATGCTTGGAACAGGACAGAGCTTTCCCCAAACTGTTGCCACAAAGTTAGAAGCATATAATTGTCTAAAATTTTTTGTATGCTGTAGCACTAATGTTATGCTTCACTGGAACTAAGGGGCCTACCCTGCTAGAAAAACCAGCATAGGCCAGCATTGCTGGTCACCAGTTGTCTTGTGGATGCTGGTACGCTGGTCAGCAGCAATGGAAGCTGATAAGCTGATCACCACTAAACCCAGCATGCGTTGTGTTCTGACGCTGATATGCTGGTCGACCAGCATAGACCAGAAATGAAATCGTCAGGGTAGCGCAAACCCTGGTAAACAGCCCCAGACCATTATTTACTGTTGACACTATGCATTCTGATAGGTAGCGATCTCCTGACATCTGGCAAACCCAGACTGGTCCATCAGATTGGCAGATAGTGAAGTGTCATTCATCACTCCAGAGAACACGTTTCCACTACTCCAGAATCCAATGGTGGCATGCTTTACACCACTCCCCCCGACACCTGGCATTATGCATTTTGATCTTAGGCTTGTGTGCAGCTGCTCAGCCATGGAAACCCATTTCATTAAGCTCCAGACGCACAGTTCATGTGCTGATGTTTCTTCCAGAGTAACACTGTAATGAGTGATTCAACAGAGGATCTACTGCTTTGTGACTGTGCTGTTGTTGCTCCTAGCCATTTCCATTTAATAATAATAGCACCTACAGTTGACCATGGCAGATCTAGCAGGACAGAAATTTTACACACTGATTTGTGGCAAAGGTGGCATCCTATGATAGTGCCATGTTTAAAGTCATTGAGCTCTTCAGTACAACCCATTCTACTGCCAGTGATTGCATGGCTATGTGCTTAATTATACCCATATGTTAGCAACGAGTGTGGCTGAAACACCTGAAGTCAATAATTCGAAGGGGTGTCCACATACTTTTGACTATATAGGGTGTGTATGTATGTTTACATACTTACATAGGCATGATGATCAATCTTTAAATAAGGCATGTTAAAAATGTACATTTAAATACGCATGGATATCTGTCTATTTTATAGTAATGTATGTTATATGAAATAGGTGTAGTAGTCTCTATTTTATATATAAGATGCTCAATATGTTTAGATATGTACATGTTCATTGTTATCTAGCTTTTGTTTTTAAGATTACAGTATGATTTGTGAAAGCAATGGTACACTGTGTGTTGTGTTCATGTAATTCATATATTCATAATTAATTTTACACTGAATGGGTAGTGCGGATCTACTGTTATTCGTGAACATTTCTACTATCATTTGTAAACATGTTCAAATCGACTTTCTGTCCCGCACCATTTTCACCCTTTTTGTTATACTGAATGACATTGGAAATCTCTTTTTTCTCATCAAGTACAGGCAAAAAACATAATTAATATCCTCAGATCTACCAGTTTTAACTCAACAAGCTCAACAATTTAAGCGCAATTCCCTAAACAGTAAAAGCGTGTCTCATGACACTGTACCACCTGTGCAAAACAACCTAAAACACTCAACACATTAGCCACATTACAACACACGCTGTCAATCACTTCAGCACTGCCACCACAAATGGAGAGCCCTCTTAGATCATTGTGTAAACACTGGTTCAGTAAATGCTAAATGACTGCATCAGAACTAGATTAGCTACATAGTGTTGCTGACAGTAACAAAAGACTGATCCATACACAAAAATGTGAAGGAAAACATATTGTTTTTTTTACAGTATTCATAAATGACACAAGGACAAAATAAAACAAAGTCAGGCCAGTCATGGAACTATATGGATATAGAGACCTATGTCACTTTTTTGCTGTATTTTCCCATGCAGCGTGTACATTCCAATGCTAATTGTGCACACAACACCTAATATCTTGCTTTTTTACATGTCAAAGCCCCCTTTTCAATTTTCAGTCATGATAAACTTACACCAATAGGTTCGAATAAAGACATGTAATTGAGCTGGAGATCTTACAGTGTTGCTGAGAAGAGGGAGGGTGCATAGGGTGGTGGGAACTCGAATTGATGTTCGACATGCAGAGATACAGTAAAGTGTAGAACTGTGATGTCTGTTGTACAGAGCTCTGTATAATCAACATCACAGAAGGCTGGTTTAGCTGAGGCTGTACCCTTCAATGTGTCTCATACATGCTTGGACAGCTTGTCCTTTGGCACGGCCGGGTATTTACACCTTTTGTTCAAACCCACTGCTTGTTGTAAACAGTATTTTGCATGCAAGCATTTAAGTAATGATCAATTGTGTCAATGTGAGTGTGAAATGTTCACAGCCAATTAAAGAGATAACAGTTTATACCTGACATTTCATAGTCAAATAAGAATAAATGTGACAAGTGTGTTTAATATTGTGGAATGCTGCCACTGACTCACGCTGCCATGGGAGTACGGGAGGCATGGCCATGCAAAGCGGCCACACACGGAGGCTCTCAGGAGGTGTTAGCTTAATGAGATGTGTCTATGCAAAGTATGTGCTACTCTGTGCTGGGTTGTGGGGTAATTGGTGAGTCAAGCGTCTAACCCTGGTTGGTGCTAAATGGTAGTTCTCCCTTGCGGTCAGTTCAATAGACTTCCTGCATCTTCTTCGCTAGCATCACAATATTTAGCAAAATGTGCTTTAGCATGTGCGAACACAATGAGAAATGAAATAGTGTCCTGGGTAACTGCATTGATGTTATGGAGTTTTGAGGCACTATTTTGAAGAGCAACTAAGCGATTGAGAGAAATTGCAATATGTATTATTTAAAAAAATATACAGTGGCTATAAAAAGTAATCAACTTGGATTATTTCACATTTTGTCATGAAGCGGAACCATGCTAATTTCCATGAAGTAGTAGAATAATGAGAGAAGCTCAAATGGACACCAAACACATTCTCTTCAGGGAACGAACTTAAATACAGTATTTTTTCCTGCAAATTTTAGTGCACTATTTCCATTTATTTGCTTCAAACGTTACAGGAATTATAAAATATGGTATTACTTTTGCAAAGGCCACACTTTGTTTTTTTTCTCCCCCAATATTTTCAATTCAGCAAATAAACAACTAATAATAATTGTGCATTAAAATATGCAGTTCTCTGTCATTTTTACTTAGTAAATCAACAAATCATAATTTGAAAGGGCACCCAAAGTTTTGCATATGACTATGTTAACTACATACTATATATAGTTATACAGAAGAGAGCTGTTTAGAGGTAATTTAGGTGTGTCAAAACACTGTGAATACATGTGCATTTACCCAGTTTATCAATAACTCATTATAAGAAGCTGAAATGTGAGGTCCAAGGAGCCTCAATATAGTTGTACAGGCACTGTTTAAATCAAGGAATGTATATAGCTATATCTATGTTTTATCACAGAAAGCATTCGACCTGCATTACAGAAACACACATAGTATAGATGCACTTGCTGGCATATTGTGGTTTTAGACCTGTTAAATATTTGCATGGCCTAATAGTAACACTGTAACATACATAACTGATTGATTTCATTTCTTGCACTCTTACACAGAGGCAATAGTTCAATCAATTTCTCTCTCTAAAATTCTTCCCTTTCCACTAAGAATAAACACAAACACCAACTGTTGTAAAGCCAACTTTCCTTACTGTTTAACTGTGCAATAAAAGATTTGTGTGTGTTATGTAATTTTACTGCAACACTTTTTATGCTTGCAATCTGTAATGTGATTCCATTGTCTCCATTGCCATAATTCCAGGAATGATAAGTGCTGCCTGGGTGTTTTGATTGTCAAGCTATAAATCATTTGCTAGAGTCCAATACTGATACTCATGCTTTCCTGATTCTGCATTCAGATAATAATGAGTGAGACAGTTTCAATAAAACCACCAAGATTATAGTAGTATTACACTTTATTGCTGCCACTGGCAAAAAACACAAATATTTGCACAAATATCAATACGCATTATACATTGTATAATGATAATATTTTTTCACAGGTCCCAGGTGATAGGTACCAGCGTTAATCATCAGGTGTTGCCTTGTGACCCTGGTCGATCAGACTCTTGTCAAGCGTCTCAACATGGAACCAAGGCCCATCTCCTTTTTCTCTCATGTGTTTCCGGACCTCGAGTTGTTTTTGTCTATTAAAGGAATGATATATGAAATGTTAATGTTATTATTTGACATTAGCAGGCTTTAAGCACTCAGTCCTGCATCTGATAGACTAGAATTACAAAAACATTTTTATTTATTCATTTTCCTATATTTATAGTGCTGTTATAAAAAGTGACTTATGAGAACACAACACCAGCTGCCGTTCAAAATTATAACAATATATACCGACCAGCCACTTCTTCAAGTACACCTCCTTGTGTCTGCTGTCTATTTCATCAGCTCCACTTACCATATAGGAGCACTCTGTAATTCTACAGTTGCAGAATATAGACCATCTGTTTCTCTGCATACTTATTTAGCCCCCTTTCACCCCGTTCTTCAATGGTCTGAACCCCCACAGGACCACCTCAGAGCATGTATTATTTGGGTGGTGGATCATTGTCAGCTCTTCAGTGACACTGATGTGGTGGTGGTGTGTTAGTGTGTGTTGTGCTGGTCTGAGTGGATCAGATACAGCAGTGCTGCTGGAGTTTTTAAACACCTCAGTGGTACTGCAGGACTGAGAATTATCCACCAATCAAAAATACCTGGACAACAGTGTCCTGTGGGCAGTGTCCTGTGACCACTGATGAAGGACTAAAGGAATGCGTTTTAAAACACCAGCGGCACTGCTGTGTCTGATCCACTCATACCAGTGCAACACACACTAACACACCACCACGTCAATGTCACTGCACTGCTGAGAGTGTGAATCCATACCACACAAGAGAGAAATCTACTAATCAAAAGCACAAACTTAGAAGTCTTATCACACATTTATGTGTTCAAACTTTTACTGGCTGTCTTATAATGTCATACCATAATCATTGTGTCTTATCTGAAGCTCAGTAATCCTATTTCTAGTCGGGATGCTGTGAAAAACGTGAATAAAAACAATGCAGAATTGTGCGCAAATCATTTTAACACTATATTTAACTGAAAACAGTACCAAGGTAACATATCAAATGCTGAAACTGAGAATTTTTATTGTTTTTTGAAAAATATAAACCCATTTTGAATTTGATGCCAGCCATATATTTCAAAAAAGTTTGGACGAGGGCAACAAAAGACTAGTGAAAATAATAAAAAAAAAAAACAAACACCTGTTGGAACATCTCACAACTACTTAGGTTAACTGGCAACAGGTCAGTAACACGATTGGGTATAAAAAGAGCATCCCAGAGAGTCTTTCATAAGTAAAGATGGGGAGGGGTTCACCACTCTGTGAAAGACTACTCAGGCAAATAGTGCAACAATTCAAAAACAATGTTTCTCAACAGAAAAGAGCAAAGAACTTGGGAATTTCATAATTTACAGAACATAATATCGTTAAAAAATTTAGATAATCTCTGTTTGCAAGGACAAGGCCAAAAACCAATATTGGCTGGCTGTGATCTTCAGGCTCTCAGATGGCACTGCATTAAAAACAGACAATTCTGTAGTGGAAATAACAGCATGGGCTCTGGAACACTTCCAAAAACCACAGTGACTTTGTCACTGCATCCTCAAATTCTAGCTAAACCTCTAGCATGAAATGAAGTAACCACGTAAACAGGATACAGAAACAACGCCACCTTCTCTGGGCCTGAGTTCATTTAGGATGGACTGAGACAAAGCAGAAAAGTGTCCTGTGGTCTGACAAATCAAATTTTGAAATTCTTTTTGTAAATCACGGACGCCACATCCTCCAGGCTAAAGAGAAGAGGGACCATCCGACTTGTTATCAGTGCACAGTTAAAAAAATGCCTGTGCACTGGGGGGTGCAATAGTGCACAAGGCATGGGTGATTGGCTCATTTGTAAAGGCACCATTAATGCTGAATGCAATATTTAGGTTTTGGAGCAACATATGCTGCCATCCAGATGACTGTCTTTTTCAGGGACGTCAGCAAAACAATGCTAAACCACATCCTGCATGTATTACAACAGCATGGCTCCATAGTAAAAGAGTCTGGGTGCTAAACTGTCCTGTCTGCAGTCCAAACCTGTCATGCACTGAAAACATTTGGCACATTATGAAATGAGAGGAAAAAAAAAATCAACTGTTAAGCAGCTGAAATCCTCTATCAACCAAGAATGGGAAAACATTTCATTTTCAGAACTACAGCAGTTGGTCTCCTCAGTTCCCGAACGCTTCTGAAGTGTTTGAAAGAAGGGGTGATGCAACACAGTGATAAACATGCAGCTTTTCCAACTTTGTTGATACGTACTGCATGCATCAAATTCAAGAAGAGCATATATTTTTCAAAAAATAATTAAATTTTTCAGTTTCAACATTTGATGTTGTCCTTGTACTGTTTTCAATTCAGTAGTGTTTATACTATTTGCACATGATTCTGCATTTTGTTTTTATTTACATTTTGTATCCCAACTTTTGTAAATGAGGTTGTGTTTTATATATGATCTGAATATGATTACTACACAATGTCTTATGTTGACATAATATAATCAATCATTACAAGTCATAAAACACAAAGGTATGAGAAGACTTTTGAGATTGTTTTGTTTTTAACATTTTGCAAAGCTTCCCATGTTTTTTGGAAACAGGGTTGTATGCATTAACTTTCTAAGTGAGAATAAGTTAATACATCCTCTAGAGGAAACAAACTTAAATATGGCACTTCTCTGCAAATGTTTGTGCACTATTTCTATTTATCTATTTTTTTTTTATTTATTTATACATAAATTGTGCCATAACTTTTTCCACAGGGCATATTTTATGTTTCATTTCCCCCCCCCAGTTACTGTGCATTAGAATGTGCAGAAATGTGTTCTCTGTAGAAGATGTGTTCACTTATTTTCACTTAGAAAATCAACAGAATGTGTTGTCTGACCAGGTGCGTCCAAACTTTTAAATACGACTGTAGGTCAAACTTGACAACTTAGTATACTTATACAGTTTCAGGACAATTTTAGATTATTTCAACATATACTTTAAAGCCACTAGGTGGTGCACAATTCATAATCAACTTTATATGCAGCTTCCAGTACAAATAAAACTAAGACCAACTATTAATGGTAGCCTGGCCCAGACAATCATGACAGAGAAAAGCCCATTTTGCTATTATCATAAACATAACACAATTAGGTGTTCGGCCATGTGCACAAATATAAAATACTACAGGTAACCTCTGATCAGTAACAGCTTACCTCATTTGAGCCTTCTCGGCCTCAATTTGAATAAGGGCCATCATTTTCTCATAGTCCTTCACTGGGCTGTCATAGATGTTACGAGCAATCCATCTAGTAATGGGATGCTGGGATAAAATCAATTGAGATGTCCATAAACATAAAGCAAGTGCATTCAGTTATAATCCCTTTACCTTTAATGTCTAAACATTTGGACTTGACAAGGGAGACTCCTTTATTTTTTACTTTTAGAAGCAAATTGTGTATGTTTGGATTTTGTTCACCATCATATTATGATATACAATATTTAGAAAAGTTTACCTTGTAGTACTCCCAATATTCAGGCTCATAGCCCTCTGGGATTTCAGCCAACTCAGCCTCACCTAAAAGACCAAATATTTTGTTTAATTGACATATTATATAGTATATAACAGGGGTGGGAATCTCTAGGCACCTCACGATTCGATTCGATTACGATTTAGATTGACATTTGTGAATCAATTCAGAATGGTCCATGTCCGCATCGTGATGCATCCAAGAATCGATTTTTCCCGCACCCCTAGTATATAATTACATTGTCTTTAAATTATATACTTAAATGAAAAAAGCACTGAAAATGTAATGCCAAAACCTTCAAATGGCCAATACATTACTGTTTAATTTATGCAAAAGCTTTGACAAAAGATGTCTGTAAAATAAAGCATGTGTAATTGACAGTGTGTGGAAAATACCTACCAATGAAAACATTCACAAATGTCACAAATGCAGCAACAGGGATCCCAGTGAGCAGTATGTAATATTTCTGGTGTAGAAAGAAGAGAGATACAGAGAAACTGGGTAAACAAATGTTGCCCAGTATTTACATGCTCTTTTCTGGCATGAACTAAAATCTTCCAACAGGTCCAAAATGTAAAACGTTTGGATGACATCTAAAAAATTATTTCTTAGACGTACCAGCAAATGGAGAAACCTTCTGTCGTAGAAGTCAGTAGGCTTGATGATAAACATTTTCTTTCCATGGCTTCCATAGCGAACAGCAACTGCAAGAAGAGCATGTTCAGATAAAACACAAACTCCCCTGCTTTCTGCATAAATAACAGGTGAGAATAAGACACAACGATAGGTAAAGTGTGAAAAAATCTTAAAAATAAAAGCACAGGAATGAGGCACAAAACTATTAAAAGCCACTAATAAAAAGGGACCACAAGACTGAATTAGTGGTTGATAACATCTGTGGTTGATAAGGTCTGCATTTTGAACTACTGTTAAAATGAAAGAATGCAAAAGAAGGGAAGGTCAGACTCAGAAGTGAAGTTAGCTCAGATGCCCCAAAACATTTTGACTGAACAGCACGGAGTTTGCAGGGCTAGTGTGCTGAATCTGATAGGAACCTTATACTTAGCTAGCTAACTAAGAAGTTAGCGAACTATCTAAAGAATGTATTGTTATACATATGTTAATATGGAATTAACAAATTGTTAAAAAAATCAGCACTACAGAGCCCAACGGATACATAGATGTGCTCCTGTTTTGTTGGTAAGGTGAAAAGTGGACAGAAAAAAGTAAGGTCATACGTTAAGGTAGGTAAGCTAGGTAAGTCAGCATAGTGGCACCAAAACACTGACTGACCAATATTTGATTTGAAAGGCTAGTTAGTGTGTTGAGCTCAACATGTTGCCAACTGTATATGTTATTAAATAGCAGATAAGTAGTACAGTTATACGTCTTAGTTAATAAAATATTTTACCTGCACGAGCCATCAGGAAAGCTAAATTACTCGCTACAAGCCAAACAGTTATTACCTAGGTTAGCTAGTTAGCTAGCTTAGCACGAACATTGTAAGGACAAGGTCACTGCAAACAATAAGCCCTCTACAGTGAAAACATGAACACGTCTCAGGGAAAATATGTGCTTTTACCTTGATCCGAGCGCACTACTGCCCTGGAAAGGAGATGTGCAGCTTGGTTTGCCCGATTTAAGGGATTTAATCGGGCTGTGAAAGCAGCAGCCGCCCGCAAAGCGCTCATGGCCACCATGGCTGTTCGTGACGTGTTCGGCCAGAGCGGCGCTGATTGGCTCTGCGAGCGGAGCTCAAGACATCACGGATATTTATTATATTTAACAGAGTTTGACGTTTTATTTATTATAGCCAGCACGACTGGAAATACTACTGTTCATTACTGAATTGCCAACCAAGGATGACGGGGTTTGTAATCTGCAAACAACAAGGTACTGTGCATATTATAGCATATGTGTTGCCATGTTGCGCTGGAATCATCCCAGTGAGTAGTGAGCTGAATGTCAAGCTGATGCGTACAATATACAGTCATGTGCAAAAGTTTGAGATCTCTTGTTCAAATTACATGAATGTTGATTTTTTTTATTTATAAAAATAAGTCAACTCATCCCCTACAGGAAATATAAATATTATGTTTTTCTGCAAACCTTAATGTACAATTTCTATTTATTTGCTTAGTTTAACTTACTGGGGAAAAATAAAATATAAAATGTGCCACAACTTTTGAACAGGCCAGATTTTATGTTTAAAATCCTGAAAAAAATGACTCATATATTTTTGATTGTCACAATTCTAAATAATTTTGGAAAGATTTACCCAAATATTTTTCAGATTAATCTGGATACAGTGTAGATATAAAACCTAAAGATGTGATTATTTGTTTTAATTGTAGTGTCTCGTCTGTAAATTTTACTCAGAAACTGATTATCCTTCTTGAGAAAAATTACCACTAACACATGACAAAATATGATAAATGTAAGTCATACCTCAGGGTCTTCTATATAACAGCACTAAGAATTTACAGAATCTGTGAGAAGCTCTGGTTTTGTCTAGGATTGAAACCACTGGTACGGATTAGGCTTGAAATATTTGGCAACCCTGTTCAACGTTGACATTGCTCTTCAAGATGGCCGCGGCCACTGCATGCCGTCTTTCTGCAATTTGCAGACAATTTCAGCGCGTTATTAAAATATCTTCACCCGTAAACGCTCAGCGCTCCTCACAGGCCTTGGTCAGCTATCACTCCTGCCTACAGAGGTAATAATACCTGTAGTCACTTTACTGGTCTCTGAGAGTCAAGTACCGTGAGCGGGAATGGGCTGTTATCAGTGAACATAAAGACTGAGGAAAAAAAGGAAAAGTTTAGAAACATCAGCTGTTTTAGCTGAATAGAATGAATACGCGTAGTTATTAAACCTGTCTTCTCCACATTCACAGGCAAAATGACGATCTTTTTCGGTTCAGCCGTCCCTCACAGTATCGGCTTCTCCATACATCCTCCAGCAGACGGAGCCTTGAAGAGTTCTTTGACTTGCCTGAAAACTGGGGAGAAACGACAGTTAAATCAGGTAACTGTACATGTTGTAAATGTTTTGTTGATTGATTAGCACCAGAAAACATCTTGAGTAAAGAAGAATGTAAGAACGCCAGTGTAAACAAAAACTATACATAAGGTACATAATGATTCATGTGTCCTCTCTGGTGTAACTTTTTCGTACGTCCAGCATCCATCAACACAGGAACTTAAAAGGGGAACATCACTAATGTTCTGAATTTCTATATAACTCAATCGTTGAGATGTAAACAAAGTCTCAGGTATGAGGCAGCATATTTGTAGCCATTTCTGTGAGGTAGCTTTAAGAGGTATTAAACTTTTCAGACATCTGGTTCCTGTCACCACCACTGTGAAAGCGCTATTCCTTTCTTTTGTTGTTAAAAAAAAATCAAAAGTAAGAAACGTATGCAGCAGCAAAACAGCATAGATGCTGAAAAAACAGGACAGAATGAAATTAAAGCCAAAAATGAGTTGCAAACAAAGTGTGAAGAGCAAAAATGGACCTGAGGAAAAAGTAGATTTTATTCCTCGCATGCATACTTGAGTACAAGTGAGTTATCATTTCCTCAGAAATGTACAAATGAGTCAATTTGTTTGAAGTAGATGTAACTGAGTTATGTAAACTAGTCATTACCCACTTCTGAGTCTGAGATCAGTAAGCTTAAGATCTGAAAAGTTTGAAGTGAAAAACTAGACTCATGTTTTCGAGCTGAGATTCTGAGTTGCACCCGGTTTTCCCAGTCAGAGCTTGTCTTGAATGCATCGTAAGCTCCATGTAAAATATATAAGAGCTTAATGGCTTGAAGAACCAGAATCCTCAGTTGAATAGTTGGCTAACTCTGTGACTTTCACAGGTGCTCCATGGACTGCCAAACAGCTCAGGACAAAAAGTAATGAAGATTTGCACAAGCTATGGTAATGGCGTTTTATTGTTTAGTTTGCATATGATTTCTAATAATGTACTGTTGTCTAAATAGAATATTGGGTTCTGTACCACAGAAATTCTGCACCACAGAAGAATAAACCTTTATGCAGCCAACATCGACAAAAAGTGAATAACACATGATGTAAATAAACATCAGTTCCTAGTAGTCTGCAACCAAATTCTTTACAAAAAATACAAAACACAACTCCATTTTAACATCTTCCTGGGAGTTTATTCCAGAATGAGACTTGTTCATCTATATTGAGTCAAGGAAACATGATCCAAGTGTCGATTATGCCTTCATGCCATTGGCAGGCAGTCATTTCGCATGGAACAACACTTCTGATAGTTATTCATGGTGTTGAGAGACAATGTAATATTAGCCAGGCGTGGTGCAGTCACATTGACCCTAGGATCAGGGTTTGACACCTTTAGTTGATGAGCTTATTTTAGAATGATCTTGGCAGCAAGTAAAATGTGATATGTGTAATAATGGCATTTAACTTTTATTTCATGTTATTAAAGAGCCCATATCCTACAGTTTTCTAATATTTTATGTATTTATATATTTGAATTTTTTTCTATTCAACCCAATTATGTCTGTGGTTTCCAACCTCTCTTTATCCCTTAGAATTAAACAGTCTGTTTGTTATTGTGCCTTTAAGACTGATATATGTAAATGCACTCTGATTTTTGTGCATTGCTTTATCATGCTCAATTATATCGCTGCTGTTGGAACGAAACCTCATATCTGCGTTTTTGTCGTTTTTCAGTTTTTGCCATAATTTGAAAATGCCTGTTGCTCTTTATATTGTGTGTAAATTTCATGATGAATGGATGATTACTGGTTCCATTGACTTACATTAAAAGTGAAGTATGTTTTTTCCTTCTACTGTAAAGTTACCATTTTGGAGATACAAGATTTTGCTCTGACAGCAGCGATATGCATGCTTACATTTAATTGTTTGATAAGAGACCTGTCATTTCCACGAAGCTGTCTAGCACAGATGCATGTGTTGATAAAGATGCATGTGATGGAAAAAAAAACAAAACAAAACAGACAACCACAATTGCCCGATGTTACAGAGAACAACTCGTTGGGCTTTGTCTATAATGGATACACTCATTCTTAAGCTGTTTCTTTTTTCACTAGGTATGTTCTTCTAAAGGAAAAAAACATGTTGCTTACGATAGAACAAGAAGCTAAACGACAGCGTGTTCAGATGCCCAGTCCAGAACGCATCAAGAAGGTAAACATATGCTTTAAGACTCTGACAAGTTTCTTTCTATGCTGTTTAGAAGTTTCAAGTGTGCAGTTGCAGTCATATAGAACCTCTCAGTTTAATGATCCATGATGGCACAAAGGATTGCACGTTTCCATTGATTCACAGTGTAACTGACAGCATTATGTCAATAGGTTGAAAGATCTATGCGGAGGCTTGACACCATTGTTAAAGAGAGGGAAGATGCTCTCCGCTTACTACAGACGGGACAGGAGAAAGGGAGACCGGGAGAATGGAGGAAAAATGTTTTTGGCAAAACATTCTGGTAAGCAGAATTTTTATCCCAGGGAAAAACTGATCTGTCTCCTGATATATTAAAGATATAAATTCAAAACATAAGAGGACTGTGAGAGTTTAATGTGGCATTTTATACTGACAAAAAATTACTCTCTTTCAGGTACCGCTTTAGAGAACATCCTATTCCTTGGTACATGAACAGGAGATACAAGAGAAAACGTTTCTATACACCTCCATTTGTTGCCCCTTACACAAGGTAATTTGCGATTTTGATACCATTCTTTGACTTGAACTAAGGGCATATATATATATTTATATATATATATATATAAATAAAAAGACTTAAATACTTTACTGATAAAATGTCATGCTTGTTTGTTGTCTTAATTTCAGACTGAGTCTTGAGAAACACTTGCGGAGTAAAGTGCGGAGAGAAGCAAGGGAGAAAAGAAAGCAACAGAAGCTGGCGGAGGTGTTTCCCAAAAACACTGCCCAAGCATGAGGTGACCAAGACAAAAAGCCAGTGTCTTCTGCAGCACAGCTGACATCCTTATATATCTTAAACCATTTCTTCACATGTTGGGGCTCATCTTATAGTCATATAACTGCAAATGTAAAGTTAGGTGTGCAGTTCAGCCACGAAGATAAAGGTATAACTGTTCAGGTTGTATGTTTGTACTCCTATTATAAACTTAATGACTGCTAAAATTAAAACTTGAAGAGTCTGTGTTTTAGTATTGTACATGCACGTCACCCAATTTTGAAGTGGCTGAATGTTCATTTATTGTTGTAGTGACCCCTCAATAACCCCTCTTAGATTATGTTTGTCCAAGTATGAACAGGACAGGCACAAAGTTGTAACAAAAATCTTTATTTTCAAAACGGCCGATCAATAATTAAAAGAATAACAAAATTTGCCACAGAACTCTGTCATAATAGCATGTATTGCTTAAGTGTTTTCTGGAACTGACTTAGACTTGAAGGATCACAACTGCACATGTACCAAAAGATACAGCATTATTATCTAAATGGTTAGAAATATTCTGAGGTGCCAAATGTGACATGAAAATACTGAGAGTAGAAAAGTGTGACCGAGGCAATTATTACAGAGTTATAAAATAGGAAAAAAGTATAATAAAGCAGGATTAATTTTTGGAGAAGGAAAATCCAAGTGTCTTTTCAGTTCCTGAGTCCACTAAGAAGGCTTTTACTATCAGAGGTTTGTTTTTTTTTTTGTTGTTGTTTTTTCCTTTTCAAAAATGTTGAAAGGCAGTCAGCCACTTGAGTGGGGTGGTCAAGGGCACTTCCGATCAACACACTGTTTCCCACCTTCGTCATACTCCTGTTTTGAAATCCACATTTGTTGGAACGTCCCCTAAAGAAGGTACAAGAACATGTTGTAAAGTCACAAGCTGCTTGCAACTAATATATTTTAGCAATAAAATAACTGCAGGTCATAACACAGCGTTAAACACAATAATTAAGACAAAAATGTGTGGAGCAATACTTACCAGTGATGCCAGGATAGAACCTCCAATCCAGGCACTGAACCTCCGCTCTACAGTTGTGTTGCTGGCTATTAACTTCAGACGCATGCTCTGGAAAATATGAAGAATTTCATTTTGTTGGTGCTACATTCTTTAGGATAATATGTCTTTACCTGCACTCCACAATGGCAATACTGAAAACAGCTTGTAATGGAAGATCTGAAGGCTGAGATATTGCTGCTCCAGGGTGAAAGAGACAGCAGAACAACAAGTGATTGCAATCCCTACATAGTTAACACAGTGCAGATGTAAACAGTCATATGCAAAAGTTTGGGCACCCCATGTTAAATTACGTTTTGTTGATTTCCTAAGTGAAAAGAAGTTAACACATCCTCTACAGAGAACACACTTCTGCAAATTTAATGCACAATTACTGCTTATTTGCTGAATTTAACATATTAAAAAACAAAATAAAATGGGTCCTGAACAAAATGTTTTAGACTTTCTCAAACAAACTCAGTGAATCACGCCTCAGAGCTTGGCAAATTCCAGGAGAACGCTACCTGCCAGGTAATGTTAATACTACAGCATGTAAAGTCATTTTAGACAATATGTTTCCAACTTTGTGGCAACGGTTTGGGGAAGGCCCTTTACTTTTCCAGCATGACTGTGCCCTGTGACTTGTGACCTGCAAAGAGCCCTGACCTTAACCTCATTGAACACCTTTAGGATGAACTGGAACATTGTTTGCATGCCAGACTTCCCAGAAAAGTGGAGGCAGTTAGTGCCGAAAGGGGGTGTGGAGACTCCATATTTTTAAATTGAATGTGCAACAAGCTCATATAGGTGTGATGGTCAGGTATCCATATATTTTTGGCCATACAGAGTATTAAACTCAGGAGATAATTAGAAATTGTGCCCTAAAATATGCAGAGCAAAACTTTTTTGTTAGAAAATCAACAAAATGTTAAAAATCTGTACTCATGAATGGCAGCCATGCAACAATTCAATGCAACAGCACTAACCGGTGGAGTCTTCTGAGAGAGTTCTCTGTTTAATCTGTCTGTAAATCCTTGGATGAGTGTGTTTCCTCCGGTAACGATCACACTGCCATACAGACCCTGAAAGAACAGCAGAATCAGGGTCAATATCAGTGACTAATCTTACAGCTGTGAAACTTTTACCAAAGCAAAGCATTTGGTATTTTAGACTTTTACAACATGAAACATACAACATAAATGTGGTTTTAAGGCATTTGTGATCGTACAAGTTCAAAATATAAAACGAGCACTAACTGGTCGGATGTCGATGTCACACATGCCAACACTAGTAGTCACGACATGGCCGACTCCCAGCATGGTGTTTCCTGACAGGCCCTATGAAAAGAAGAGAGAATGTACCTTAAATTTATGGGGAAAAAACCTAAAATTATAGAAAGGCTTAATGAGCAGTACTTACCTTTGCATTTGAAGGGTCAAAAAGCCCCTCAGGAATCTTCAGTCTTTCAGCTCCAAAGTCACAGTTGAATCCATTGGGGAGCTCATAATGAACAGTGGGCATCTGAGCTGCTACTCTGTAATAGGGGTTTAAAAAAATCAAATCATTTGATAGATTTCTCTTCCTCTAGAACTCACATTTTCTTGTGTGCGGTCTCCTGAAAATGTGTATGTGTTATCTTGGTGTAAAGTTTGTGCATTTGTGCAGTCTGCTTGGGTAGACTGAGGAGAGAACACATACTGTTCATCATAAGGTGAGTCTGACACCTGCAAGACTGAGGCCTGGAAATCTTGAATAACAGTCTGCAGAAGAGAACATAATTGATTACGGTCATCAGAGTTTGAACTGCAGTTATAGTCATAAAGCAGAACAGCTATTATTATCACTTTGAGTGTTCTGGTAAACATGATTACAGTGCTTACATTACACATGTAGTTATGCCATGAGCGAGTAACTTGAGGTAGTTTCTCTTTTTTCTTCCAGCTGGCTGGGGCACCTTCACGTACTGAATCCTTAAATGATAAAAGACCAACATTAGCAGCTGCAACAGGTACAAAAGAACCATTTTGAATAACGAATAACAAAAAACATAATTAAACAACTCAGTTAAACTGACATATGGATGCAGTTCAGAGTTTGATGTGCCATTAAGTACACAAAAACAGTATCTTAAGATTGAGTAGGTTGAGCATAATAACCTATTTTTAGATGTGCATCAAGTAACGTGTTTCAATTAAAAACAGCTCATTTTAAAGCATAATAGTTTTTAAAGGAAAATCAGAAAACACTATCGGATTGGAAAAGAAAAAGTGGTTTCATGCTGTTTCTAGTTTGATCTGTCTCTGTCACAGCATAAAAAGACAAATGATCCACCTCTCCATGCAGATGCATGTGAATGGGTTCTACAACATGATTAGACAAGGTGGTAAAGCAAACAAAAATGGCCAAACCTCTATATCAACTCTCCACCACCACAATGTTAAATATATACTGACAAAATTGACTAGTTATAAACAGGCCTCACCTTTGATGCTATCATATATGGAGGAACGATTTCAACACTTAATTCCTGAAACAGCTCTCGACATTGCATACTCATGAAATCACCTGCAAGAGGGGACTTAACAATGCCTGTAAAAGCACAAAACATAAGCACTCAGTATCAGTACAACTAGCTGTTTTTCTCAAGTTCATTGATTAAAATAAATGGGATTATTTAGGTAACACCGCAACAACATTCGGAAACAGTGCATAACTGACAAGGACATTCCTAAAGATGAGAGTCAAAGTATTTAAACTGGACATTTAATTGTTGAAAGGTTCATCTTAAACTTAATCACTAAATCACATATAAAATATATTATGTAATATAAAAGGATAACAAAACAATTAAAATGAATGAAGTCAATCTAAAGAGCTGCAAAGCAATTTATCACATGAACAACATGCAAATTCTCCTTCAGTCCGATGGCCACAGTTGCCGAGCCCAACAAAACATTAAAAATAACTATTCTGTGGTTTAATTCTTGCTGTGTGTTTACTGGGAAAAAATGCCCTATGTTAAAGTTACTTCACAGTGAGCCTGATGACCATGAATGCCGTGTTATTCAGCAGAGAGTAACGTATTTATGAATAGACTATGTCAAATATTACGTCAGTTCGCCTTGACGGGACTGTGCGAGTGAGAGCATGCCAAAAAGTTTTAGTTGTGGGCAGGATTTTCTGCAGGAACAGTATGAAATCTTTCAGGATCGGGCCCGAAAAAACATGGTCCCGCGCAGACCTCTACATTGCAATAGCATCCATATTTTCATTTGGAATACTATTCAGGAAGCAGCAGAATAAGCGTCAGAGTAAACTGAATTTTTTTACATTTTTTGTAAACTGTAAATTTCGCAGAAGCAAGGGTTGACATTGCCTGGTGCCCTTGACCACATTATTTCACATTTGACCAATGAAAAGGCAGAGGCTGTGGCCTGATTGGCCACTTGCCTTAAATTTTTAACATTCTTTTTCCTTTTTAACAAAACTGTGTGATTGGATATGGAACTAATCAGACGAATCAGATTTTGTTGAAATTCCTCAACTGTAACCACCATGACAGCTAATGTGGTGATGTGGTGACCACTTCTTTTGCAAAGCATCACCTGACTGTTTTTTGATACTTGCTTGTCTATTTTAAGTCCAATAGGTATATTTCCAATGGGTTTTCTTATTCTAGCCCCAAATTCTTAATGGTGGCCTGAGTGGCCATTCCCCCTTTTTAACCCCAGCACAGAAGATTCAGTTACAGTTCAAACTGCTACCTTTATCAACCTTCCTATTTATTTGATTTTCTTTTTCATGCAAAATAATATTAAGGTTACATGGATTCTTAGAGTTTATTTACACCTTTCATTAACATGTATTTTGTGTCTAAATTGTATCTAAACTACCTAGACATCAAATCTGGATGAACCACATGCTATTTTCACGTTTCACTCAAATGCATTGAGATGAGATCAGATTTTAATTTTCTGCATAAAAAGCATGTCAACACATGCGTCGCTTCTGTTTTACTTTTGTCCCAATACAACATGAGTCGACAAGCTCAGCTTAGATGCTTTCATCTGCTGAGAGTGCAAGAAGGCTGTTGGGTTGGGAAGAACTTCACACTCCCGTATCTTCCATCTTTCATTTCATTTGCTAGTCAGCACTCAGCAGAAACATTTCCACTCACGTAGTTGTACACAGAGAACGCATTCTGTTCACATTTGTGTTAAATGTGGTCAAGATTAGTCTCTGACCTCCTCTGATTGTGGTTTGAGTGATGCGATTGTAATCTGCTCACAGTCTGTCCTGGGGTGATTGCTCCTGGCTTTTCATGCAGTCAAGTGAAATCCAAACATGATCCGACTACCGCAAACGTGCTGATGCAAGGTGTAAACAGGCCCTAAAGCTTCCAAGTCTTTCGCAAGAGACTCTCAATAAGTAAGCAAACATTTCCTTCAAGCTTAAAACCTCATATGAAAGACATAAAAATGACATTTACCTTGCTGCAGGACATAACCATCATGCACTGGTATGGCAGTCGTGTGTGTGGCACCACTATCTAACACTAAACCAGTGGATCGTCCGTTGGCAAATCTGGAATAATCGCAGTTAAGGGTGCTACTAAAACTCAGATTTGGTCATATAAACAATCATATCAGCTGCATAATGTACTGAAGCCTGAAGGACAAGATCTCCTCAAAAAAAAGTAAACAAACTGCTGTGGAAGGATACGCAGACAAGACAGCCGTTTTACACAAGAAGAAAGCAGGAATGTTATAATGCTCAAACATAAGCTCTGTCAGCTTCTCCCTCTTGGCCCGTGTGTTCCACTGTGAGAAAAACACCAAGACACAGCCAGTAAAAAAAGAGCATGTTGGCAAATGGCATGTGTACTTTACATTCCAATCAGCCAAAACATTAAAACTTCCTCCTTGTTTCTACGCTCATTGTCAACTTTATCTGCTCCACTTACTATATAGGTGCACTTTATAGTTATACAATTACAGACTGTAGTCCATCTGTTCCTCTGCATACATTGTTAGCCCCCTTTTACACTGTTCTACACTGGTCAGGACCCCCACAGAGCAGGTATTTCTTGGGTGGTGTATCATTCTCAGCATGTGGTGGTGGTGTGTTCATGTTGTGCGGGTACAAGTGAATCAGATACAGCAGTGCTGCTGGAGTTTTTAAACACTCCTACCTTGTTGGTCCACTTTGTAGCTGTAAAGTCAGAGACTGTAGCTCATCCAGTGCTACACAGTTTGTGTTAGTCATCCTCTCGTCCTTCATCAGTGTTCACAGGACGCTGCCCACAGAACACTATTTTTGGTTGGTGGACTATTCTCAGTCCAGCAGTGACACTGATCTGCTGTGTCTGATTTGCTCATACCAGTGCAACACACGCTAACACACCACCACCACCAGGTCAGTGTCACTAGTGCAGAGAATGATCCACCACCCAAATAATACCTGCTCTGTGGTGGTCCTGACCGTTGAAAAACAATGTTAAAGGGGGCTAAAAAACTATGCAGAGAAACAATTGGACAACAGTCTGTAACCATAGAACGACAAAGTGCACCTATGTTGTGAGTGAAGCTGATAAAATTGACAAAGAGTGTAGAAACAAGGTAGTTTTAACGTGACTGCTGATTGGTGTATGCTCACAGTGTGTCAACAAGGTGCAGAATATGTAGTTGGAAATGTGGCTTTGGGTGCAACATACCGAGGCTTCGGACATTAGCACAGGATGCAAGCTTGGCTCTGATTTGAAATGCATTTTGTAGGTGTGGTCCAAGATGGCTTGAAAGCTGTCCCAGTCCTCAACTGAGAGAAAGAGCGGGAGAGATTTAGTAAGGGGAAGGAAAAAAAATGAAATAAAACACACACTTGGAACTCAATGCTTAGTCAAGAGACGCTTTTGTGTAACAAACATTTCTACATTCCTACTAACTATACAATAATTTTCTACATTCTACCATTTTTTAAACTTAATATGATGTAAACTAAGACTTGAGTGATTTGATGTGAGTGTTGATACGCTCCATTCTAGAGAAACTTATCAAGTTGTTCACAGCATTGATGAAAAGACATCTGAAACATTTAGTCTCTACAAGCTACCTCACAGACAGCCACCACATGAAATGGTTACAAATATGTTGTCTACACTGCAAATATAGCCATTTTATAACCAGACATCAGGACCCCAGTTCCTATGACCACCACCACTGTAAGGAAAATCTGAAGTTTCTACACAACATAACATTTCCTCATGAAACCACTCTGAACGACGATTTACATTTAAACTGAGCTATTTAGAACTTTTGAAAAATCAGTGGAATTCACTATTAAAGAAAAATCTAGGTCTAAATCTAAAAATCCCACTTACTCATGCCATTTTTGAGAGGTGACATGACCTCCATGTTTTCCCGTGGCACCCTGAGCTGGTTGGTGTCAATGTAGTATGTTGTCCCACTTTGCTTGCCCTTTTCCCCATCAGTTTCCATTGGAGTAGTGCCATCTTCCCTGTCCAGTGTCACTCCGATCACAGTGGGGAAATCAGCCTGCAAATCAGAGCATTTTAAAAAAGCACAAAATATTATGTATTTGGTTCCTATCAGCAATGTCTCAGCTTTAAAGAATGAACTCTCGCTTACCTTGGGGCAATCTTCTCCAGCATAGCCGGCTCTCACAGAGTAGGAGCCAATATCAAACACAAGGGCTCCTACTTCATCTGTTAAAGGAAATGTAAAGAAAAAGACAGAACTCTTATAAATGCGGATCAATATGGACTACAAAATGTGATAACATAAAACAAGAATGTTGTATTTTGAATGGCATCTGGTTTGGTTCCTGTGTTGATCCAGAGGAAGAGAAACAGGACACAACCCGTGTACACAGCAACATGATAGCGATGAATCATTTAAATCCCTACATGAAATACCTAACAATAATTACGAGAAAAACAATAACATCATTCCAGCAGTCCTGAACCCTGAAAACACTTTCGTTAATGGAATATGTCCTAAAGGATTTAGCTAAACACCAGAAAATCCGGGGCGTAACGTTAAACATGTTAGAAAGCCAAGTTAGAAGGGAACCCGTTAGCTGTCAGTAATAGGAGCCGATACTCCGCACAGATAGAGAGTGATAACCGGCCAGTTTAACTATATCTGCATTAATAAGGTCTAATGCTGAGTAATAAACAATAATGTTGTTTGTTTCACTCCTCTGTCAGTTCATCTCCGCTAATGTTTAGCACGTTAGCCAAACGTGGCGCTCTCATTCATTCCAGACCGCCAAACCAACTCACCCCCTCCGTACACTCCGCCGCTCATTATCACCGCCGGCAGACGAGTTTATATTTACTAATAATAAGACGGTGAATTTTACAAAAACAGCACCGCTGCTAAAACACAGGCCGCGCTTTCTTATTTAACACAGAAAACTCATCACAACAAAGGAAACGAATCAGTCGTCTATCTCTGTGCTGAACAAAGTCAGCGGGCTAGAGCCGAAAACTCAACAGCACCCCCTCCCGCTCTGGAGACAGGGGCTTCTATCCTGCACCGGAGACCGCAATCAGACTGGAAATAGCATGGCAAGCACACTGTTAACAAAAGAAATGGGAGTATTAAGAATAATTAAACAGCGTAATGAAAACGAGACTCAGCTTTGATACATGTGGTGGTGCTCTATTTGCCACGCCGTACGTAAGCAGAGTCTCTCTCTCTCTCTCTCTCTCTCTCTCTCTCTCTCTCTCTCTCTCTCTCTCTCTCTCTCTCTCTCTCTCTCTCTCTCTCTCTCTCAACTCACATATACATACACAACCCCAAGGCAGTTCCTAGCCCCACCGTCTCTAATCAGAGTCCATAGCAAAATGAACCAAGCGCAATAATCGCTGGAGAACCTAAAACTAACATGTCAAAACTTTTCTTCAACATGCTACAAAATTGATTGTTGAAGCGTCTACTGTCTACTAGGTGACAAGTAAAAACTATATATTTTTGTTTTATTTCTTTTTTAAACATGTAAAGCAGGCCAGCGTATGTCTAAAGAGAACCTGAATCGGGACATAAAGTCCTCCATAAGTATGTTATTTGAGCAATAGAACATGAGAGTGAGTGTGTTATCGCGAAATAACGTCACAACATCATGTTTGCGATTACTCATGACCTCGAGTGTTCTATTGCTTTTATACAACGGTTAAATAAATAAAGTAAGAAATTAATAAATTGGGCCGTGAACATGGCATTTAATATGTTTTGATGTTGGCGATTCGTCAAATGATATTTCCTTAACGTGCAGCTTGTTGCTACGTCAGAGTAACGAGCTCCGCTCACTCGCTCACAGCCGGCAGTTCGTTCTCCAGCTCCACACAGACCGACTGACCGTTTCGGAATTTAGTGTAGTCTCATCTTCAGAGTCTGACCAAATCGGCTGTCGGTCAAATGTAATTTTAAAAGTGTCCATTTTCTGTTTGTGCACAAAGTAAGAAGTAAAAACATTCAAATGGTTTGAGCGTCTCCTACAGCTGTCAAAGTCATTGCTTAGCAACAGCGTCATATCAAATGTTGAAACTGAGAAATTTTATTGTTTTTTGATAAATATATGCCCATAATAAGTTCCACACATCCTCTACAGAAAACACACTTCTGTATATTTGAATGCACATTTTCTATTTTATGTTTATTATAAACTCAGCAAATAAATTTTGCAACAAAAAATGCATGTCTAAGTGTGTCCTTTGTGGAGGGTGGATTGACTTATATACACTTAGAAAGTCAACAAAACATGTATTTTGACAGAAGGTGTTCAAACTCTCTGAGGTCCACTCAGAAGGTCTTATTCAGAAATTTTCTTTTTTTTACCTAAATAATAATGTAACTATAAAAAGTTTAGTGTTTCATTTTAAACATTTCAACCATTGTGCAGAAGCTGTATTTCATATGAGAAAAAGAAATAAAGAAAAGACGCCAGAATCTTTGAATTATTTGTGTTCAGCATGAAGGAACCAGCTGGGATAGGCTCCAGCACCCCGAAGGATAAGCGGTTTAGATGATGTGTGTGTGTGTGTGTAGTTTAGGTTGCGTGTTCTTCAGTATTTATTCACAGGATTATTCTGCTAAGGACTCTTATTGTGGAGGGCAGGGGCTGGGTCCACCCGGGGGGGGATATGTATGTGCATGTGAGCAGAAAGAGCTGAAAAAGAGGAGAGACATGAGCTGAGTCAGAGAGCGAACTGCACAGCATAGCTGTGGCCAACAGCTGGAGAATAAAGCACCATTACATCATTTATACGACTGCAGTCATTGACCAATGTGCGATACTGTAACAACGAGCTTTACAGGCCAGTGCCTGGGCAACATGGACAACATTCAGGGCCATTTATGTATGGTGATGCTGTGTCTGATGTGTGAGCATGCTAGTATGATAAAATGTGTGTTGCATCTTTTATACTGTTTGTTTGATGTATATAAGTGTGTTATGTATTTACATCAATATAACAGTGTCATAGTTTGTTTAAACAAGGGTAAAAATGTGTCCTATCACACTTGTGTCAAGGCCTTTTGAATGAATGAAATGAAATGAAACGAACCTTTTAGCCAACTGTGTCTGAACACATCGGAATTAGACCACCGCATTTAACCCATCCATGCAGTGAAACACCACATACACACTAGTGAACACACACACACTAGGGGGCAGTGAGCACACTTGCCCGGAGCAGTAGGCAGCCCTATCCACGGCACCCAGGGAGCAGATGGGGGTTAGGTGCCTTGCTCAAGTGCACTTCAGTCACGTACTGTCAGCTGATGGGGATCAAACCAGCGACCATCCGGTCACAAGGCTGGTTCCCTGACCTCCAGCCCACGACTGCCCCCTTTTCTGGACATTGGTGAGCCATAAACTCTTCCTATTACAATGACAATATTTTGTATGCAAGAACGAAAATGAATAAACAGTTAATTCATTTGAAGAACAATAAAATCATACACACCGACCAGCCACCTCTATGTGTCTGTATGTTTCTTTGGATAATTTGTTAGACCTTATTTGATCCCTGTTCTTTAATGTTCAGGACCCCCACAGGACCACCACAAAGCAGGTATTATTTGGGTGATGGATCATTCTCAGCACTGCAGTGACACTGATGTGGTGGTGGTGTGTTAGTGTGTGTTGCACTGGTACAGTGGATCAGACACATCAGTGCTGCTGGAGTTTGTAAATTATTGAGTAAAATTATTAATATGACAGCAATTATTTTTATTCCAGGCTTTTGAATGTTAGTGTATGCATATCATATTACATATTTATAAATACATTTTAATGAATAAAATAAAATGTATTTTAAATGGCCTTCTTTATCATAAAGTAGTGGGTGCCTCTGGTGGCTCAGGGTCTCCGAACAATTGCTTATACTACCTAAATCAAGAAACAGCCCCAATTGTGGTGTTACATGAGATGTTAATTTAATTTTTATCATCTCAAATCAACAAAATTAGCCAAATGGATTTACGATCTGATGGACAGACATCTCTTTTTAGTGTTGAGCAGGTGGTTGTAATACTCTCATCATTTTTTGAAAGCTATTTCCCAACAAGTGGAAAGAAAAACTAGCTAAGTGCTATGTAATTGAGCTTGGTGTCTTTGCAGAACAGCTGAATATATCTTTATTATGCTCAGTCACATATAACATCACCAGAGCTTAAAGTAGCAGTGACTGGGGGAGTAATAACTCAGGCCATGTCATGTCCATCAATTTGGCAAACATAGAGTGAGGTCACTTAATAGTTATGATTAGCAGTTTAACTCTGGTCATTTATGTCATCTTATTGTAACTGCTATGACATCTCTTCTGAATAAAAATAATGCATGGCCACAGCTTAGAAATGTGTGGAAATGAGATCCAAAGGTGTGGCCACAACTTACTAACATGTGGAAATGAGATCCTAATGTGTGGCCACAACATAATAAGGTGTTGAACTTCTTGTATAATCCCTTCTTACTGAGGTAAATGTAGTTATGATCAGTTAATTTGGATAAATCCTACAGACTGGAGAGTCTTTTGCCCAAAAAGCTTCCTAGCATTCTTTGCGTTTTTTGGGGGGTTTTGTTAATTAATTAACTCATAATTTTCTTATTTATAAATATAATTCTCCTCATAAAGTGTTATTTTACTGTCACAAAATACTCTCACTTTAAATGTGAAGTTTGGATGAATTTTATGTGTTTTGTTATTCCCACCATGATGGTGTTTAGTGTTCAGGTTTATCATTTCACTCTGGAGCCACAGAGGATGACAGAATGGAATATATGTATTAAACCATTAGAGTTTTCAGCAATGGTTGATTCAAGTCCTATATAAGCCATTTATTCCTTATTGTACAAAACAGTTCATTTTATATAATGGAATTGTTACAGTTGATGCTAATACCTTATACAAGGAAGGGTATTAGTATTATTCAAGTTAATCTAACTAATTCAAGAGTAAATAACAGTTGAATTAGTAAAACACTGTCAGCTCTGTTGTAACCATTTAAAACCACTGGACTGTATGAGTTAACATTACTTACTGCAGAGGTGTGAATCACTGAAAATTACAAAGCCTGTTAAGTAACTTTAAAGTTATGAGTTAAGTAGCTTCAACCAATATATATATATATATATATATATATATATATATATATATATATATATATATATATATATATATTTTTTTTACTATAAAAGTAAAGTATGTTTTTTCCTCCTATAAAGTTACCATTTTGGAGATACGAGGTTTTGTTCCAACAACAGAGATACATATAGACATGTATATGTAAATATTAATATCATCATCATCACTTTCATCACTTTTTATTAATATGTATGTATATACATGTATGTATGTATGTGTATATATATATATTTATATATATGTGTGTGTGTGTATACTTAAAGTTCGATGTACCTCTATGACATTTTATTCAGGATGCTCAAGTTTAAGTTTCAGTATTTCGTATTTTTTAGTATTTAATATATGAAATTAAAATGTCACTTCATTGAAGTGAAGCACGTGTAAGAGCAGGGCAGAGATCACACCGATGTGTCGAGTCAGGGAACCGATACCATCCGCGTCCGCCGAGTGTCTCCCCTGAGTGCGTTTCTGCTGTTTTATATCAGCATGCAAACAGTCGCTTTAGTTTTTTTTGTCCGCGCACACACATACTGATAGAGAAACAGCAGCATGGCGAGCGAGGAGAGAGCACAGAGTTCCTCACATCCACCAAGAACAAAGTCAACATCGTGCATGGGGATCCTGCGGGTTTTATTTATTGCAATAATTCACGTGGCACAGGCGAACAAGCAAGGTAACTGTTTTACCGAACTATTACAGTGCGGGTGTTGTTGTGTGGCGAGGGCCTGTCGGGCTCGGTTTTTCCCCTAATGTTTGTTGGCTCTCTAGCTGGCTAACTGCTGCTCAAACTGCAGGCTAACGAGTTAGCATGACAGCAAAGCACTTTCAGTTAACCTGGTAATGCTACAGCCGGACGACAGCTAGCATGTTATGTTTTACCTTTAGACTGCAAAGTAGAGAGCAAATGATTGAAAAATGCCAAGTAACGAGTTATATACGCTCCATTGTATAAGGTAACAATGTCACTTTAGCTAAGTTAGATTTAAAATAGCTAAAGCTAACCAACAAGCAAGCAAACCTTGCCTGGAATAGCTTGATTAGCTAGCTGGTTATTTGTGTTTACTCTCCTAATTCAATTTAGCTATTTAGTGTTTATATCAAATTAAACTTCTAGAGGGACCCCCGTCCTGAGTGTGTTTTTTTCTCAAATGGAGCATAAAATCAAATATGCTGTTTTTGCCTCAAGGTACCGTTTGAAGCTGAAGTAGCTAGCTAGCTAACATTAGCCAAGGTCTAGGTCGAGAGCTTTTTGGCTATCAACGTTAGCCAGCGTTAAAGGCTCAGCAGCTACGTGAGAACCTAGAAGCGTGAGTTTGAATTAAAAACACTTCCTTATTCAAAACGTGTAATTTCACGTATTGGAGCGTTTTTCGTTGGAGTTGACAGGTCGTTAGTTTTCTGTCTCGACCCTGTTATCTCGGTAGGTTGCTTAGCTTAGCTTAGTTTAGCTAAGTAGCTGCCAGAGTTCAGGCCTGTGTTGTCAGCAGTGACATGTCAACCAACTTGGCAAAGGTAGGCGGAGGTCACTTGATAGTCATGATTAGAGGTTTAACTCTGTTCATTTGTGCTGCCTTGAGTCAAGTTAGACTTGTTATAGCTGTATAGAATCGGTCTGTTTAACTTGGCTCTTGGCTACACATTTTCTAAAAAAGTTTCGTGTATGAAAGTCCACAAAGACAACAGAATTGCTTTGTGAGTGGACCAACACTGCAAATAACATTACTGTTCAAGCAAAAATCTTATATGTACTTCTGTTTTGGGTAGGACGTAAGTTGGTCCTGAATAGTTGTGCTTTAACTTTGAATCTGTTGTGGGGCTTTATGTCACACATTGTGTATATGTATGTATGTATGTATATATATATATATATATATATATATATATATATATAAGCCTTATTCTCATGTCAGCCAAATGACATATTTTTGTCTTCATTGCTTGGAAGCTGTCAGTGTTACTCAAGTGAAATGTAATACAGTGGGTACTAGCCTACTTACCTGAACTCCGAAGGCTCGCAACTCTGCTACAATCTAAATATCAACTCACTTTGACAGGGCAGCTGTACCTTTGGTCTTTAGGTTGTTGCATGTGTTGGCAAAGAGTTGGATTAGGACCTCACTGATGTGTCAGGTTTAGATAGCTGGTGGAGGATTTTGTTTATATCTGTCTAGATTGTACACTGTAAATTCATAACTTTAAGAATTTAGGTTTTAGCTAAAGTTCCTGCTACAGAGAAATCTCTACAGGCCTTTGAAGGAGAATAGTGTTTGTCTGTGATAGTAGCTGTGAAGTTTCTGCTCAAGGTAGTGTAATGAGATGGCCTCAGCTTGCTGTTGTATATTGTGTTGCCTGGGATTAAAGTTGAAACATTTGGGGATGGGTCAGGGTAGGTAATTTAAAATCTGTAGTTTTGTTATGAAGCACATAACAGTACAGGCAGATTCAAAATTATGGAGTAGAGATTACAGGGATGTACCAACCATAAAGAAAGTCTGATTGGTTCAAACATTTATGCGAGCAGCTGCTTCTTTGGGCTACGGTTAGCCCAATTTCTGTGTGAACATGTATTTTTCTTTGTAAAGATACAAATCACTGGGATGATTGAGCTCTAGAAACTGTTCAACATGTATCCAGAACACAAATAAAGTTGAAGTAGTTACAGAGGAATGTCAGAGGAATATTTTCTGTTGGTGCTAAACAGCTGGTGAGATTGTAGTGCTGTCAGTAGTTGTTTTTGAACCCCATTTTTGAACTAGTGGTGGCAGAAACCAAATAAAGTTTCTATGTATAGTAGATCCACGTGTCTGCTGAACTTACGTTAAGTTGAATAGTGTTTTTTTTTCTAGTAAGGACGTGATCTTTGCCTAAAGCACACGCAGCATGTTACTCTGCTTTGTAATCCCCAGGATTACTCTGGGTCTTTGGCTAGGCCAGGTGTAGAGCAACTCAGATGTAGTATTAGAGCTATTGTGGATGCAAGTACTAACAGTGGTGGATTACATATCAAAACCGTAGTAGTAGGGCAGGAAAACTTTCTGAAATACTAGTGAGTGCTTTATGAATACTCATAAGGTGATATTACAGAACTGTAATAACAAAACATTATTCTCACCCCAGGAGATATAATATGAAGTAGGAGTGGGCAGTATGGTGATAACTGTTATTGTGACAATGCACTTTTTTGAGCATATTGCATAATTTTTATCAAAGTTTCATTACAAAAAAGCACAATTAGTCCTGATTGATTAGATTTAGTGCAGTATGTGAAATGTTAAATAAAATCATTGTAGTTTGTATCATTTTTTTTTAATTGTAGTCATCCTCATGCTTTTTTGTCTGTACCAGTATATTAAACCTTTAAGTATCATGGTAATATATTTTATTATGTTGCCCATCCCTACTATGAAGTTGGATTCATGGCTTATAAAGATAACTTGCAGTTATCTTTAGATCAGCTTGGACTAGTATGTGTGAGCATTTGCAATGTTTGTTATTGTGAAATTATAAGTGAAGTTGTCTGTGAAAATGATGTGTGTTTGTGAACACATGTTACCCCCATATATCACTGTGGAAGAAGATCCAAGTCACGTGCCTCGTTTTAGCAAATATACTATGGCTAGACTGTTGTCTTTAGAACTTGGTGGACCATGCTGAGAGCCCATAACATTGTTCTTGTTGTAGTTTGTGTGCAGTTGTGGCGGTCCTCACATTTTTTGTTTTGTCTTAGTGGGACATAAATGTTGGAGTGTCATTTGGATTGCTTAAGGATGTTAAAGTAGAAGGCTTAAACAAAGAATAGGCCTGTCAAAATGATTACATAATTGCCTGATAATAATTATTTGAGATAATCACGGTTATTTAATCTGACTACAATTATTTTCCACAGTAGTTAGATTTCACAGTGGTATTGTATTACAACAAGCACAATGTGTGTGAGATACATTTTCATTAGTTGACATGAGCACAATAAATGTAAATAAAGGATATCGCTTCTTCTTTTCTTTTTCTTTTTTCTGACTTACAGTTTTAACTTTTAACTGTGTGCTGTAACATGTTTAGGGGGATGTTTGCTAATTTGATAGCTAGTACAGCCAGTGCTAATGTTTGCATGTATGGTTGCTGAACAAATGTTTTTCACTCATATTTTCATGGTCTTAAGAGAAAAATGTAGTCTTTTGCAATTGTAGACACTCACGCACACCACAGTGCAGTGTAATGTCTCTTGTTAGCTGCAAAATAAAAAGTTAGCTAAGCAAGATAGCTAATAAACCAATTGAGCTCCTTTAGACCTGTACTTTGTTAGTTGCAAAAGAACAAACAAAACAGACATTAATTCAGATTATTTGTACAACAGTATATCGTTGCTGTGAATTTCATCATTGTGACGGGCCTAACAAAGGGCCTAACAAAGTCCTGGTCTCCACCTGTATTGTGCTAAACGTTTTTTTATATTTTTATATGCAAACTCTGCGGCACTAATGTCTCAGTATTGTGAGTCATGACAATATCATATAATTCAAAAAGACTGGGACTTATTTTCTGAAGTTCGAAAATGCCACGCATGCTTTTGGTGTAGGGGCGCACATCAGCGCATGTTCAGAGATGTAGGTCAGTTTGTTTACAGCAGTGTGCGTTCATATTTAGCGGAAAAAGAAGAGTTTCAGAGGAGGTGGAGGGGAGGAGTTAGTTAAAGCAAGTGCTTTGCTCCCACAGTATCACTTGTATGAGATTGTCAGAAATTCCAGGTTCAGAGTCGGAGTGGGCAATATGATATGTTATCGTTATCATGATAACTTGTATTGCAGTATGTTTTTCTAAGTATGTTGTGGGTATTTTCAGAACTTCCTGAACACTGTACAAATGCATAGATCACAAAACAGACAGATTTAGACCAATTACAGAGAGCCTGCAAACAACAGCAGCAAGTGTTTAGTAACAGTAGCTGATTCACTGTCAGACCATTAAGCTGTTATGTTACTTTTTGCATTTTATTCATTCCAGTTGTATCATTAACCTCAGTAAAATGAACTCTTGAGACACATTGTACATCATGAAAATGTCAAGTATTGCAATTTGCTTTTTTTTTTTTGCAGTATCGTCCACACTTGGTTCAGAGATTACTGTATTACTGTAGTGGACTAAATCCCACACCTCACACATTGTGTGTGTGAAGCTGACATATGCAAACCCACTGTAGCTCATGACTTCACCTGACAATTTTTTGACTACTTTTTTCTGTACAGGCCGTTTTCCTATTTGTTTAAACAAATAATTGTGGTGACACTGTATGTGCTCTCAGTTGCCCTGTGTTTGTCAGCTTGCTCTATATGTAGTCTGTCTAGCTTGTCTCTTCACTATTCAGGGACGAAGTGCAAATTCAGAATTTGATTCTCCTTAAAAATGGTAATTTTGTCTTTTAAAAATCTGGTGTTGTCAAGCTTCTATTGGGATGTGTACTTCATGAATCATGTTCATTATCATTGTTCCATTTGCCCAACAAGATCAGTGTAGGAATATAATTAATTAAGGCTTTATCTTGTAATAACTTCTAACCGTAAGATAATAAATGCATAAAGTATTGTATGATGTAGTGTGTATTGAGTTTGGGGCTGCACAATTGGTTTATCATTGGCACGATGAAAATGAATTGTCTGTACAGTGTGTTGTAATTTA